ACCCGGGTGACCTTCGTCGGCCCCCTTTGCCCGGCCGCGAAACCGACGGGACGAGGGGGAGGCCTCGCTCGATCGTAACGGACCTACCCCAAACGCTCGGCCCTCCTCGGACGACGCGACGTCGTAGGGCCTCCCCGGGGTGGCGGAATTTATCGCGACCGTCCGGGGCCGAGGAATTGGCTCGCGATTCGCCGGAGATCCCGGGACGCTCGTCGGAGAGGAGAGTGAGAGAGGCGCCGCGGCCGCGCGGCGGTCCGCGCTCTCTCCGCGGCGCGGTGGTGGGGACTTCATTCAGTGCCCGGTTCCCGGGCGCGCGGGGCGCATGCGCGGCCGACGCGCGTACACACGGTACTCACGCTGCCCGCCTAGCCCCCACACCGACGCGCGCGTCGCTAGTGCGCCGCTCTCCGTCTCCCTCGCTCTACCTCGCTCCCCCTCGCTGCCCCTCGCTCTCCCCGCGGTTCCTCGACCGAGGGCCGCGCATTGGCGTACCGAGCGAATAACGCGCGGCCGGGGCCGCGGGCGACGCTCGCGCGATTCTTCGGCGGAAAAAGCCGAGCCAGGTGGGAAATTCATCGGGGATCGCGTCTAGCCGCTGTCCGGACTCGACCGGTAACCTTTGCCGTGGGAGCCGAATCGCGCGGACGGGAGCGGAAAAGAGGCGTCGCGGCGAGCCGAGTCGTGCTCGTTTACCGATCTCGCGGCATTTCGAGAGCGGAGAGGCCGCTTTATCTCCGGGCACGGCGACCGGGACCCGACATCCGGCTCGAGGCGTCGTCGCGGCCTTCGAGGAGGCAACGCCGCGCGTACCGCGTTGCGCCTGCCGATCGGCCGCGAACCGATCCGCGCGGCCAGGTTTTTCGCGCTTCTCGGCGCGTTATCGTCGGCGTATATCTCGGCGTGTACCCCGCGCTCGCCCCGTCCGGCCCTCGAGTGGCGGAGCCGCGCGGCCGGCGGAGGGAATGCACGTTGACGTAGGACCGTGCATCGGGCGGCGGCGGCGGCGGCGGCGGCGGCGCGGCGTTGCATTCCCCTGCGGTGCATTGACTCTGGCCCCTCTTCCCGCGCCCGCGCGCCCCACTCCGCCGGCCCCCTCGCCCCTCGGCGCCCTCCGACGCCGACACGCCGCCACGCCGCCGGTGCAACCGCCTCCCGGCACAACAACAACATTCCTTTTCTCTCCGGAGTCCCTTCGCGGCGCGGAGACGCCGAGCGCCCAGCCGCACCTCCTGCGCCTCCTGTCCGCCGAGCCGCGGTCCTTCGACGTCTTCTTTCCTCGACGTTTCCCGCCGATTTTCAATTTCCCCCAGTTTTTTTTTTTTCTTCTTTTTTCCCTCGAGACACCCGAGCACCTTTTCTTCGCTTTTTTTCGCTTCTCCCCGTCGAGCGTCGATCGCGTGGGTGCGTCGTCGCCGGGGTTATTTTCCCTTTTCCGGGAGTGTGATTCGATGAATTCGAGGAAGTCCTCGAGTTTTGTCGGGGATTCGGGATCGCTGATTTTCGCGAGACGCGCAGAATTGGGCGGTCGAACCGCGCGAACGCGTCGCGGAACGACCGGGATTACCTGCGGGGCGAAACCCTTCGGCCCGGGATTACCTCGGGATTAGGGCGCCCTGCCATTAGCGTTCCTAACCTATTCGGGGCCGCGCCTCGGTTTTCGGCCGCCTCTCCTCGCGGTAAATTAGGAAAGACGGCGGACCCGTTGGCTACCTGCGCGCTCCCGGGCTCCTCTTTCCCGGTGCACCTGTGCCAAGAGGGTCCTTCCCGAGTCGGGGGACCTCCTCCCGTTTGCCTCCACCCTCGGGGGGGGAAATTTCTCCTCTGTTTGCCGTTTTCGTATCGATCCCGCTGATCGACGCCGACGGCGGCGCTCTTTCCGCGTCGGGGCGGGATCAATGGTACGTGCCGGCGTGACGGATGCGCGACCGGACGTCTCGACTCCTTTATTAATATTTTTTTTATCGTTATTGGGCCGCGCACCTGGCCTGCCGTCGTCTCGGCTTTTGCCCCTTAACCTTCGCGTCGGGCCGCCGCGAGAGAAGGGCGAGAGTCGACGCGCCGCGTCCATTTTGTCCACCCCTATTTCTTTTTTCTTTTTTTTACCTTACCCTCGTTCCCGTCGCCTCGGAGGGAGGAGAGGTGCCAGGGTTTCGTTTCCGCTTCACCTCCAATTTCGTTCGCGAGAGGCCGAGGGTGGGAAAGGAGCGGCGAGGTTAACACCCGAAACCGGGTCACCGGCGGAGTGCGGTGAACTTTGGGGGTGACCCGGTGCGCCCCCCGGCGAAGCGTACGAAGGCAACAACCCCGAGGAGAATCCCCCACGAGGGCGAGTCCTCCGGCCATGGGATTCCCTCTCTTCCTCCCTTTTTATCTTTTCCCTTCCCGTCCCCCTTTCTCTCGCTTCCTTTCGGCGCTCTCTCTTTCTCTCGGGTCCTCCCTTTTGAATCGACCTACCCTCCGCACAATGGGGAGACTCGGGCCCCGTCCATTCCTGCCCCATGGGAACGTCTTCCCGGGCCTCGGTCCCGTTTTCGTCTATCCGTCTTCCCGCGGGCTCGCGACTCCGCGCGGACCGACCGCGGCGGCGCTCCCGCTTTTACCTTTGTGGGAAAGCTCTCGCCCCCTCCCCCCCCCTTTTCTCTCCGTTTTGCGTTTCCGCGCCTTTGTCGGCCCTCCTCGCGGGCCGAGTTAATACCTCGTTAGCTTAGGCTCGCGTTATCCCTTTGTCGGCCGGGCAAAAAGGCCAGCCCCGTCTCGTGATTATCAATTCCCATTCGGAGACGGTCCTCTACCCCCGAGTGCTCGATGATTCGGGGGAAAGGCGCCGCGGTCCGAGGGGGGCTCTCGTTTTTGCCGCCTCCTTCGTAGTTTCAATGACAATGATAACGCGGATCCTCCGAGCGAAGCGGAATTGCACTTGTACAAACGGTTACGGAATAACCGACAGGAGAGGCCGCGGCGTCGCAATGGCGGACGGGAATTCTTCGCCGAAGTCGGATCGGCTCCTCGCGGTGGATTTTCTCGTTATCGCTATTTCTCGACTCTCGCTTTACACGAGCTACGAACGAATCGTGGACGAACGCGCTTTTGGCCGGAGAATTGGACATTTTCACGAGCCGGGTTGAGAATGATAAAATGGCGGCCGCGAACGATCGCTGCGTCGCGATGGCCGCCGCTCTGGACATTCACTTCGTTCGGATGTACCGAATCATAAATTCGAGCGGGACGCGACTGGCTAGGATTGTCTTTTCTTTTCCCACAGTTTATTCGCCGTCTTTTAAGGGAACTCTTATATTTCAATATGGCCGCCGTGCCGATCGCAGCGCCGCGCAATGGCCGCCGCGAGCGGCAGGGATCGTTACGTAAGGGTCGGTTTCCGCGTCATCGTTGCCGCTCCCCGATGACAAATGGCGGAGAAAATGGCGGCAGCCAACGAGGGGCGTCGAACTCGCCCCGATCGCCGCTTCCGGTGCAACTATGCGCCGTTCGTTCGGGACCTCGCGGGCGCAGGGTGCATCCGCAGTCGGCGACGAGGACGGACGACATCTTGCCGCCTACCCGACCGGTTAACACCACCCCCGCGCGGGAGTAATTAATTTTAAGCGCACGCTTTGCGCTAGGCGAGATGTGGCGGAAATCGATGCCGATGCTGCGGCCAGCTTCGGCAGAGAATAGCGTTAGGGAGTCGGCGGACCTCGCGTTCGGGGCAGACGGGACGGGGACGGAGGTTATTTATCCCGGCCGAGACGTTAAAGCGTTTTACTGGCGTTCGTTAGCCCTGCCCGAGGGTTTGGGATATTTTTTGGCAAGCGGCGGGGGAACGATTCTTGCCTCTTCGGGGCAAGGGATGCACCTGCGATTGGCGCTCCTCCGGCGGCGCCGCCGCCATTCTCGCCGGCAATTCCGTAGGCCGGGCTTTCCGCGTCGTAAAAGGCTTTCTCCCCTCTCCGTCCCGGGCTAATAAAATCCGAAACGACCCGACCTGACCCCCGGGGAGTCCGGCCCGAGCGCCGAGAGCGAAGGAACCTTCGCCGGGAGCGACGCCGCCGTGCTTCCTCCAGGGTAAGCTCGCGCGGGGCGAATGCTCTTTCCTTCCGATTCCATCCCATATATTTTTTTTTTTTATGTTGAAACTCGTCTCGATCTCGGTCCTCGTTTTCCCCGCTCGACGGGGGCGAGATCTCGGGAAATCCTGGCGAGCGTTTGCGGCCCCGGTCGGGTCGCGTTCCCGCGTTTTCCCGGCGGTCCCCGGGGTCCCTCCGCTCTCTCGGTGTTTTCCTCGAAATGACGCCGTGCTGTAGGCCGTGAACGCGCCTCCGGGGGTGTCAACCCTCGGAGGCGCGCCGGCCGAGGGAGAAACTTCCCGGAATCCGACGGGGGTCGGAGGCCTCGAGCGGGCTCGCGGCTCGCTTCGGCGGTAAGTTGCGACGCAGTTGTGGAGGCGCCGCCATGTTTGCGCGGGTGCCGTAGGCGTGGCGGGCGCGCCTCGTTCTCCAACGACCCGGCAGGGACCGCGGCCCCCACTCGGCGGCTTCCCCACCTCGCCGCTTCTCGGCCGAGACTCGCCCGCCCCGTGACTCTGGCCCCCCTCTCCTCGCGGCGTAGATATCCCGCGTACTACGTATATATATATACCGACCGACGCAACCGGACCTCGAGGTTTCGAAGTTTACTCGGATTTATCGATGATTCGCCATTTTCCCGAATTCGGCGGGCTCCTCCGTTTTTTTTCCCGCCGGACGGAACACGGAGTCCGGGATGACCTCTCGTCCGCGGGTTTTTCCGTCGTCCTGCGAGATCGGTCCGAAGACCCGGGGGAAATGTTCGAGTCGAGTCGTTCCCGGGTGGCGGGACGGGGGTCGACGACGACGACGACGAGAACGCCCGACGTCGAGCGTAACGTAAGGTCCCGCCGAGGAGAGGCGATCCGATCGATGCTTTGCGCGAATTTTTAAAAGGTGGAGGCTCCTTACTTATCGCTCGAATTTTTCTTATCGCAGGTTGATGACCGGCCGGGTCCTGGAGGAGATCTTCAGGAGCGCCGTCGACTACATGACCGAACTCCCCATCGACGAGATCATGGAGCCCGTTCAGAGCATCATCAAGGATTCCGGTAAAATATCGAGACGATTAACGTCCCAATATCTTTAGGGCTAACCTTGGAAGCGAAGCGTGTACTTCACGGGTCCGAGAGAGAGAGGGGATCTTTCGTTCGATTTCTGTCGTTTTACCTTTTTCGCGATAGAGCCGTCGGCGGTCATTTGTGGCTTTGTCGTCGACCGTCATTCGTAGCTTTGCCGTCGACCGTAGAGACGACGGTCGGTGTTCGGGCGGATGGAAAGATTGAAAATTCGCGCGGCTGAGTCAAATCTTTCCCGCCGGTCGTTCGCCCGCATCCCTTGCTTTCCGATCGCTGCGCCATCTGACGGCAAACGATGCATCGATAGCGAATCCGCATCCCTTGCTCTCCGATCGCTCCGCCATCTGGCGGCAAACGATGCACCGATAGCGAATCCGAATTTTTTATTTTTCTACCCGATACCGGATCGGCTCATCGGAGACCGAAAGGTGGTCGTCACTTCCCTCTTCTCTTCCTTCGAGTCACACTTATCAACGGTTCTCTAAAAATCGAGGAAAGGCGAGGACCTCGTTAGCCCGCGCCCCGGAAGTTCCGAACGCCCCCGGAAATCGGGCTTTTTCCTTCGCCTCGGGGAAAAGCTCACCTCCTTTTAGGAGGGGATCCCTCGATAAAAATAGTCTCTCTCCGCTCCCGAGTCAGGAAGCGACCGAGATGTCGCGCACTTCCGGTGGGGCACGCGACACCCCGGCCGGAGGGAGTATTTTTACGGGCTGCAAGAAACGCGGCGACCCCCATGGCGCGTGGGTCGGCCCTAGGTTTCGTATTTATTTATCTATTTTTACCTTTCTCTTTTAATTCGGGAAAAGCGCTCGACGGGAGCGGAGGGAGAGTCGGGCGAACGGGAGGAAGGCGCGTCAAGATGGCGGCCGGGGATCGCGCGGGTCGTAAAGTCATCGCCGGAGGCGCTTTTCGTCCCTTTCGGCCCTTTTAAGACCCTTTTTAGGCCCCCGAAGGCCAAACGAAAGAGGCGGGAAAGCTGTCACCTTTTATGGAGGTGCGCGTCGAGCGGGTTCGCGGGGTTTCCTCGGCGTCGGGGGTGGACGTCGCTTATTTTTGGAAACGTCCCTTTCCATGTTTCATGCGCGTTAAGCGCCAACTTCCGATCTCGGTCTCCGTCTTTTTTTTCCCCCCGTTTTCCGCCCTCGAGGGTGGCGCGTACCCTCGCGATTATTCCTGGACGTCGAGGCTCTTCCTCTCGTGTCCCCCCGAAATTTGGAAACTTCTCTGTTCCCGGAGTTGGAGAGAATCCGAAAAGGGGAAAAGAGGGAGAGAAATAGAAAGAAGAACGACGAGATCGATCGGCGAAAAGGGAAGAGGAACGACGAGAGGTAGAGGGAAGCGTCGCGTCCTTGTCCATCCGCGACTCGGGAGATCTCGTGGACGTTTTCGACACCTATGCCCATCTGGCATCCGGTGGCGGGGGTTTCGGGGTGCCCCTGGAAGCCCCGAAGATATTTTTAGGGGGGTCGTGGTTCTTCCTCGCGCGCATGGCAAGGAGGGAAGGTATAAGTCTCGGTGATCGATGGCCGCAGGCTGCAACGTCATAGGGATTCGGTCGGCTTCTATCTTAGGAAGGAACCGGGACCAGGAAAACGCCGGAATTACGCGGCAGAGGGGAAACCCGGTACCCTAATGCCCTCCTACCCTCCGAGGAATTCGAAATAGGTGGAAAGAAGACGTCGCGCCTTCCTTCCAGGACGGCCTTCCGTCTCGATTCCGAAAACCGTTTCCGGCGAGAACGTTGCGAACGAGCCGTCCGTTCTCGCGCTGGTTATCCTCAAAAACATTGGACGATTCCTCGGCGCGGAAGCCCGGGAAAGTTTGTCGAGGACTTTTTGGCCAGGGGGAGAGTCGGTCGGGTCGGGCACGTGCGGCCTCTTCCTGCATTCCTCGTCCCTCCCTCGCGCGGCATCTGTCCTTCTTTTTTCCGAAAATCTCAAGAGAGCGACGTCTTCCCTAGAGGCCCCGGAAAGGTTCTGGGTAGGGGTGGGGGAGGAGAGGGGCCCGAAAGTCTCCCCGAAAGAGGCCCTTCCTAGTCGCACCCCCGAGAGAGGGGACGTTTCCTAGGAGGGCCGCGGCGAGAAAAGGCGCAGCCCTAACCGGCTGCAGCTGTAATCTCGCTCAGTCGCGCCCACGCTCTCGGGGAGGACGCATCCCCTTTCCGGACCTCCGAATTCGAGTAGGAGCCCTCGCGCCGAGAGGTCGACTCGATCGAGGAAGCCGAACCGAAGGAGCGGAATTAAGATCGTTCGGAGATGGGCCAGAGAGGAAGGAGCGAGTTTTTGGGAAAAACGGGCTTGCTCGCCGAAGGAGGAAAGGCGGACTCGCGAACGTCGATGAGGTATACCACTTAATCTTTCGCATTTCGGGCAGACTTCGTTCCCCCAGGTCGGCGGGCAGAAATTTTGGCGGGAAAAAGGCGAGGGGCGGGCGGGGCTAGGTCGGTTTCCGCTCAGGTATTCGAGCGGGTCTCGAGGGTTCCCGGGATCGGTTCTTTTCCCGGGTTTTTGTTCCCGTTCCCGGCCGCCTGCGAAGGACCTTCTTGGGCAGCCTGATCCATTTGCCCGTTCATAGGGCGCTTTTCCACGAAACGCTCTCGCCTCGACTTCTCGGGGACAACTTCGAAATTCCATCCTTCGGGTCGGAGCGACTCCCCTCTCTCTCTCTCTCGAGCCCTCTTTCTCTTTCTCTCCGAAGAGGCGACGGCGCTCTCTTCGACGCTCCATCCGACGCGGATCCTTTTCGCGCGTTAAGAATTTTTTTCATGACTCGAAACCTAATCCCCCCGCGTTTTCGCCTCGCGGGCACTTTCATCGGTGTTAAAGCATCGCCCCGTTTCTTTGGAATCCACAGAGGTGACCGTGCGCTCGGATCTGATAGAGATGCTCCCCCGAGTCGCCATGATCTGCCAGGAAGCGCCCGGGTTGTTCCCCAACTTCGTGAGCCACCACCTCTTGGGGATCGTCCTGAAGTACCTGCGGGACTCGGATAACCAGGTAAATAGGAGAATCTCCGCGATGTACCGTGGCGGTCGCCGGTCGAATGTGAATTTCTTTTTCGATGCGAGGAACTCTTCGGAGGTGGTTTTAACGAAGCACACGACGAACGTTCTCCCTCGTTCTTCCAGGTGCGACAAGCGGCGCAGGCGGCCCTGCTGGCCCTCCTGGAGCGGCACCTGCTGGACAAGGACTCGATAGAGCACGTCGTCTGCCCCGTCCTGATGGAGCTGTCGCATCAGGAGGTGGAGTTCATAATATCCTCCATCGCCGTAAGTCTGATCTCCTTGAAAGTCGATGTAAGGACGTCCGAAATTAACGGGGCGGCAGGAGGCAGAGGCAGGGGCAGGAGCCGGACCAGGACGGGAGGTGCCCGAAGACCACCAGGTGCGGATTCCGCGTGAAAGACATGGGTAGTGAGATGTCCGTCGCAGCGCTCGCGTCTCACTACCTTGTCTTTCATGCGGCGTCCGTTCTCGTCGGCGTCGACCATCTCGGAGGCGTCGATTTCCGCTCAGGGCGATAACCACGAGACTCGACCACGCTCGGAGACCCCCCGTCGACCGGGGGGTACGTTCCATTCCCGGATGGCGCGAAATCGTCGCGGCGGGGCAAAGTCGGGCCCGAGACGTGTCCCGGACCCGGAGGGTGGACCTCGCGAACCTTACCCTCGATTTTGCCCCGGCGCGGCCCCGGTAATGTCCGATAACCAATTGGCGTAGGAGCTATGTGTACTCGCCTGAAGAGGGCAGGGGGCATGCTTTTACCATCAAAGCTGGTTTGTCATAGAGATGGACTATCACAGCCAGCTTTGATGAGCAAAATTGTGTCCGATCTCACCGGAGTTATTGGTTAGAGAAAGCGGGAGAAAGGAAGAGGGAGAGAGTGGGAGAGAGAGAATGCGGGAGGGACGGACGGACGCGGCTCGAAAGGGCACGACGGAGTTCCCTCGTTGACTCGTTTCCCCGGATTTCGATCGAACGGTCGGCGGTTCGGGTTCGGGCTCGGGTTCGGGTTCGGAAGCGGTTTCCTCGGCTCGAGCGGGGCTCGTCGAGTCGGATCGGCCGGGGAAAAGGGGGAGAGAGGGAGAGAGGGAAGCGCGAGTGCCTGCGGATGCGAATGAGAGCGAGAGAGCGAGTCGAGAAACGAAGCTAGATTTGCGGTCCGATACATCAAGTTGGTCGTGAAATGTGCAAGAGTCATATCACAGCCACCTTGATGAGCTCGGCCCGCACGATCGATCGTCGCTAAGTCGCGCACCGGGCCCTTCCGCTTCCGGTGGCCGACCGCCGCCCTCCCCGTCCCACCCTGGTCCCGTCCCTCTCTCGGCGACTCCTCCGCGACCCGAGGAGACGGACGCCGGGACGTCCCCGCGACGGGCGTTTCCTAATTCTTGTCCAAGCTCTACTTCCAGGTGGCCCATCCTCCTCAGGGTGGCCAGGATATGCCCCGGAGGAACGCGATCCAATCGTCAAATTGGTTGTGGCGTGTTGCACTGTGGATTTCATATCACAGCCATTTTTGACGAGTTGGATCGCCGTTTTGCGTCTGCTGCTTCGTCGGCCGAGCGACCTCCCGAACGAGGACCGGAAGAGAGGAGACGCCGCGCGCGTCGTCGAGGGCGTTCCTCGTCGCTCACAAAGTGGCTGTTGTATGCTGTAGCACGAGTTCATATCACAGCCAGTTTTGATGAGCGAAGAGGCGCCCGGAGAGCTTCGGAACCCTGCCCCGGTGGACGACGGACGAGGAAGGACCGTCGGAGCCCCCGCCGCCGCCGCCAACCACCTTCGGGAACTCGGCCCAGGGTCGAGCGGCTGTCGCTCCTGTCTACGCGGAACTCGGCTCGCAGTCCCCTTCCTCGGAAGCCGCCTCTCTCTCGCTCTCTCCGTTTAAGGCCGGCCGAGGCGAAGTTCCAGCTTCCAGCGCGACTCTTCGGGAGCCCGAGAGCTTGGGGGTTGTTCCACCCGTCAGAGTGGCTGTGATGTGGTAACTCGCACTCATATCACAGCCAGCTTTGATGAGCGGAACGGCCCCGTATTTATCGTCCGTCCCCGAGGAACGCCGCGACGCGCTTCTTTTCCTCCTTTATTTCCCGCCCCTCCTTCCGAGTGCGAGGCACGTCCCGATCCCGATAAGGCAAAGGACCTTAGAGGTCGTTCGGACTTAGTTTTTAAGCTCGCCGCCTCTCCGGGGAGACTCGTCCGGCTCCTTGCGACCTCGCGAGAGGGGATGCTAATATGCGGGAATCCTCTCTGGTCTGCAGCTCATGAGCAAGATGGCGCTGCTCGTAGGCCGGGAGTTTACGGAACGGGTGTTCCTGGACCGGTACGTTGTTCTCTGCTCCCACGTTAAGTTCCTCGCCAGGAAAGCCTGCGCCATCCACATCGGAGGATTCTGCGCCGCCGTTGGAAGGGAAGTCGTGGAACTCGTCCTGGTGAGTGCCCTAGGAGTCGACTCTCGTCGCCCTCCCCGCGGTCGAGCTCAACCTCTCCCGTCGTTTCAGCTGCCGAAGTTCATCCAACTGTGCAAGGACGACGTGTGGGGGGTGCGCAAGGCCTGTGCCGAGGTCATAGTCTCGGTCTCCTACCACGTCTCGCTGGCCCAGCGTCGCTCGATCTTGGCGCCGATATTCGCCACGTTTCTCAAGGACGACTCCAGATGGGTCCGGATATCCGCCTTCCAGATGCTCGGTCCCTTCATCTCGGCATTCGCGAACCACTTCACCGGGCTCAAGTACAACCAGTGCGGCGAGCTCGTCTTCACGAATCAGCAGGGTGCCGAGCTCAGGTACAACGTGTATGTACGCACGGTTTTCTCAACACTTCGGCGACCGAAGGACTCCGAGGCCTCGAGCGATCCAGCGGATTTGCGCGACTCGAGATGTCGTCTCTCCCTCAGAGATTTCGGACGTCGTTGTTTATGATTCAAAAGGTGCGGCGAGAGAGGTTTTCCGAGCGTGTCCGGAGACGACGGGAACTCCAAAGGAGAAAGAAATCTCCGTCGGATCTCGGGGCGCGCGTCGGAGAGCCTCTTTCCCCAGCCCGGTGGCCGGTAAAAGGACGAGCCGTCGATTTGCAGGATATCGTACTCGCCCTCGGTGATGGACGAGTCCTGCCAACCGACCATGCACCAGCCCTGCGACGAGGACGAGGAGGAGGAAGAGGAGGAAGAGGAGGAGGACACTCGGGAGAAACCTCGACAGACCGTGATAATCCAGAACCAGTCGAGCCCCTCGGAAGAGGTGTCCATAGATGTATGTATGGCGAACACCCGTTACCAAAAGTCGTTCCGCTCCAGGAGGAAGGTGGATAAGAGTCAGCACTGGAGCGACCCCAGGAGCGACCTGCAGCCGGCTACCGAGCTCGACAAGTTCAACCCATTCCTCTACTATTACGTGTCGCCGGATCTGCCGCTGGATCTGGACCTACTCAGGGCCTGGAAACCCAACAGGGACCCGAAGCCTCGGTGGAAGACGAACGCCGGGTCGAAAAAGTCTGCGGAAGAGGAGCGGAAGAAGTCGGAGAAGGGGGACGATGCCGCCAAGGCGAAAGAGGAGGACCCCAAGCCGACCAACCGCTCTGAGGAGGAGAACCCTGCCAGCGAGGAGGAGAACGACTCGATCGGTCCACAGGTATCCATGAGAGCTACGGAATCCGCTCCGGAGTGTCGTCGCTTCTGAGAACGCTTACCGATTACCGGGATCTTGTACGTCTCTACGGGGAATGCCGGCTAGAAGTTGCGCCGGACTATCGACCGTGAACCTTTCGTCCGAGGATGGTAAAAAATGAGGATGGAACGCGTCCTTTTTTTCCTGGCACTTTCTCAGACCGGAGACACCGATATTTGCGTAGACTCCTTTTCACCGATAAGCGCTCTCTGATAACGACGAATTGATTTTTAAGATTCCTTGGGAAATATCCAGAGTTTCGTGCACTTCGCTGTTCGTAGGACACATCCGAGGTGCTCAACGATACCGTGGACATCGGTAACGTCTCCGTAGATAAGAACCTTACCTTCAAGATCGTCACACCAATGGAGGTGAAATTGGACGACATGAGTCAAAACGTCGTGCCGAGGATATTGATAGACTTCTTCGCGTCCATGGCCGACTCCACCCAGACGGGAGAACTCGGAGTGGACGTGTCCCATCATTGCGCCTTCACGTTTCCGGCCGTGATGCTAACATTGGGCAAGAAGAACTGGCCCCTTCTTCGGTAAGTTCGCGGACGGACGAGTGCTCCGTTTTGAAACGTCCTCCGTTGAAACCTTTGGACGAGGATGATAATTGACTTTTTCACGCGACAGGCACGCCTACTACTCGCTGGCCAACGCGATGCCCTGGAAGGTACGGCGCACCCTGGCCTCCGGCATCCACGAGATAGCGAAGATCCTCGGCGAAGAGCTGACGGCGAGTGATCTACTGCCCATTTACGACGGCTTCATCAAGGATCTCGACGAGGTGCGAGTAGGCGCCTTGGAGCACTTGGCGACCTTCCTCAAAGTCCTCAGCCCGAAGAAGAGGACCGAGTACTTGCCGAGGCTTAACGACTTGTTGGTCCCGGACAATCAGTGGAATTGGCGGTTCCGGGAGGAGCTGACCAAGCAGCTCTTGGAGATCGTGTCTCTGCTCGATCCTTACGACGTGGCGCACGACATCGCTTATTTGGCCTATCACCTCCTTGTCGATAACGTCGCTGCCGTCAGACACGCGGCTATCTCCTTGGTAGGATACGCGAGTTCTCTCCGCGGACTCCGACCGGGCGACTCGATTTTTAACGGGTGCTGTAATCATCCTCCGCAGGTTACTCATATACTCTACTACCTCTCGGACGATCGGGATCTGGGGACCAAAGTGATCCACGAGCTCTGGGACCTCTTGATCAACCATCCCGAAAAGTGGACTCGCCGGCAGACTTACGCCCTCGTCTGCGCCGATTTGCTCGAAACCACGGCCATCACGGAGGAAATGTTCGTCAAGGAGATGTTGCCTCACCTGATGAAGCTTTCCATGGACACGGTGCCCAATGTCCGGCTCGTCGTAGCCAGGACGTTGGCCACGCAAGTCTGCAATATTTGCCGTACGTTCTTTTCTTCCGGTGGAGGAGCCTCCCTTAGAACTGCGGAGCGAACGGTTTCATATCTGTCTTGTTTTCTTCTTACAGCCGTAGTTTTGCTGGAGAAGGATGCGTATGCCGTCAGGGAGAGGATACTACTGTTACGCAAAGACCCGGATCGCGATGTTCGCGTCTTGGCTGGAGGTTGCGAGTAGGAACTCGTCGCTCGAGAATAACACGGTCTACGACGTGCAGTGATCTCGTCTCGTTGCTCGACCGTCGAAGAGTCGGCGTGAGCGATTGCAATGGAAAGGAAGAAAAAAGGAAACGAACCCGCGTACGTTTAGGAGAACAGGATAAATGTCTGTCGGAAATGCGTGTACTATAAAATGACGCGCGCTTGTAACTCTACGTATTCTACGCAGACGTCTACCCTGTTTTTATATCGTGTCTAGGCCCATGACTGCATCGTCCTCAAGACACTGGAGCGACCTTCGTAAGAGTTCCGCATCGAACTATCCGGTCCTCTTCCGCGTTTTCTCCTCTTTTCTGTCTTGGATTTATCGACGCGTCTCGTCGAGCAGATTTTTGTTAATGTTCCTCTGCTTGCAAGATCGAGAAGCGGAGACAGGGACAACGATGTCTATCGCCTAAGGTATGGACCGTTCGAGCCGTGAAATTCCAGGCTTTCGCGTAAAGAAATTGCGTAAACACCGCATAGGGCGATGCGAACTCGATGAAACGTTTTAATTGACCGTTGCGCTTCTGGAATGTCATTTGGAAGATTTCCAGAAGCTAACGGATGTGCGCAAAGAGGTAAAAACGGAACGCATAGGATCTTTAATTTGAGGGCCAACACCTGTTCAGAATGGAATGTCCGTTGTGCCGCGAAAGGGTCTCCTGTTCGATATCTTATATCGGTTATTGTACGGACGTACGGTTGCAAACAGGTCTAACGTCGATACAGGGCAATGTGCCGATCTTAAACGTAACGAAACGATGAAACACCAATTTTGTATTTCTTAGTTAAATGGCTTGGGTGAGCGACGCGCAATGCCGGCATTAAGTGTCGCATAACGGGCGGACGTCTAGTGTACCTCGATGTTACGATAAGAATGTCCAGTGCCTTTTGTTGGCACCGTTTTACATCGGTTGTCCTGAGGGAAGCACCTTAAGAGTTGGGCATACGAAGTTCTCAACTTGCGAGCCACCGTCGTAATGGGAGCAATGGGTCGCGATTAAGGTGCCAATATGGCCATCTCCGTCCACCCGAAGCAACCTTTCCCTCTCGCGTTCGCCTAAAAAGGAAGAGGTTTTACTTAATTGCATCCGAGATGCATTTCTTCGATGAAATACGTTTTAATCTAGAGAAGTTCGATCCTTTCCTTTCCTTTGTACGTCTGCTTTTACGGACGATTGCCTTGTAAATGCTCGCGGTGAATCCGGAGGTGCGGACATTTGGTTCGAACGACGCGAAAGAGTTCAAGTTTAAAGAGCGAATGGTAGGACGAGAACTCCAGAGAATTAAATTTTTCTCGGGGCAACGATACGTATAAAGTAGGAAGGAACGATTCGGTGCTGCGCGGAAATAGTCGCGCTCTACGTGAATCTGTTCCTCCAGCAATGTACATTATACATTATACGTGGGTTTGTTAACCACGCGGATGTCGCCATTTTGAAATTTTATACGCAGATGCTAGTTACGACTTTATTGCCAAGCGACACCAAGCAAACCCGTGTCGGTATAACCACTCGCGAATGTCCCTGGACACATACATAACCCTGTCGTAAACAATTATCGTTAAGCGAAACGCGAAATTGACGTTTCATCGAGAACTACGTCATTCGGTGGTGCCGAGTCGTCTTTTCCATCCGGCCACTCTTGTCGATCAACAATTGCGACGATAGTGGCCCTTGAGTTAGGAGAATCGAAGATAAAACGAATATTGTGTATATTGTGTATTTGGTAATGAGTTCAACATGCTAAATAAACAGCAAATCGATTTGTTACTTTATTTTCTCATCTTGCCGGAACATATCTTTAATTTGTATTGTATATTGCGTTCCTTTTCACCCGTTCGAATTTCTCGCTGGATAAGGCACTGCAAAGTAGTGGGGGTATTTAGTGTACATTCCACCCACGAGGGAGCGCTGAAGACCGTATACACAAAAATACATTGCGGTCTTATGGGACCAGAGATGAGTTGGGAGATTGCTTACGGGCAGGATCGTGCGATCGCATCCTGTGCTGCCCTCTGGTTTCGTACGATAGCTTTCACCGTTTTTTGCCCCCAAGGGTGGCGCAACGAATTTCTGATAGGAGCTCGCTCACTCGCGATGGCGGTACCATCTACCAGTCGCCGTTGGCGGCTCACGTACTCGTGATGGTAATACCATGCGGCAGTTGACGGTGGTGGCTCACCTAGAGTTCGAAAATTTTCGGTAACATTATATTGGAGAAGGTAACTGTGAAACATATCGTAAGTTACCGGGAACATTGAGAATTTAAGAGAACGTTAATTTTGTTATTTATACTTTAGGTTTCTTCGTTTAAATAACCTTTTCTTTTCAATCAACTTCAAAGTTCAAGCTATAGAGTAATAATTACTATTAGAAAATATTGATTATAGGGTCGTATTTACCTCCAGCTAAAAATATTCACGTATTTACAACTTCACGGAAAATTCAATGCGATCTGTTTCAAATGAACTTTCATTCTGCGGCGAAGTGAATGGAAGGTTTTTATTGGCTACGGAGAACGTACAATGGAAATTCCCCTCAACGATGTTTCTCTATAGCTAATCGAAACCTCTCGTTCGATCCGTTAGAAAATTCAAATTCTCATAATTCAATTTCTCGATAAAAAAGGCTTTGGAGAAATTACCGATAAGTTACGGGGAATTTCTCTTCGTTTCTGACGTAACTTACTGGATTTAGAACTCTACATGCCTACGCTATCTTTTCTGCCATATTAAATATGTTTCATCCTGGCTTTTTACGTTTCTACAGTAAACTACTTGATTGACGTAATATACGTCAAAAACCTCGAAAATCGTGAAAGTACCCAACCCTGACTGGAAGTAACAGTTTTTTTACATCTTTTAGTACTTCTGGTTAATTTTCTTTGAAACACCGAATGTCAAAGTGCGTCATAATGTTTATACAATTATGTGCAATTCTCTTGTGCGGGTTCACACTATCCAATGCACTCGAAAGTAATCTATTGATGGAGGAACCATTATATTGTGATTCTTCAAAATCGAATTCTTGCCGGGAGAAATTTGAAGAATATAAACCTACCTGGAAGAGTTTGGATACCCGACCAATTCCTGATTGGTACGACAATGCTAAATTTGGCATATTTATCCACTGGGGGGTTTTTAGTGTGCCAAGTTTTGGTTCAGAGTGGTTCTGGAACTATTGGCGAGGTACGTTGTAAAATACAATGAAAATAAAATTTATTTTTATAGAGTGCAAAGGAGATAATTTTGTTCAAGACCTGATAGTAGTAATTATTTTCAGAAGAAAATGGTACTACTAAATACAGTGATTTTATGAAGAAACAGTATGCTTCTGGGTTTACGTATCAAGAATTTGCCCCATTATTTACGGCAGAATTATTCAATGCATCCGAATGGACCGAACTCTTTCAGGCATCTGGAGCAAAGTATGTCGTTTTGACCAGTAAACATCATGATGGTTTTACTTTGTGGCCATCGAAATATACTTATGGTTGGAATTCAGTTGATGTAGGACCTCACAAGGATCTTGTAGGTAATAATAGAAATCTTTTTAAAAATTGTATATATTAATTTTTATCACTTGCTGAAATTAATTCGTTAAACTTGTATGTTTTGTAGGTGAATTGGCTGAAACCATCAGAAACGAGTCTAGTATAAAGTTTGGTTTATATCATTCAATGTACGAGTGGTACCATCCTTTTTACCTTGCTGATAAGGAGAACAATTTCACAACTAATGTCTTTGCCACACAGAAGTCAATCCCTGAATTGTATAGACTGACTGAATTATATAAGCCAGAGGTAATATGGTCGGATGGTGATTGGGAAGCATCGGACTCTTACTGGACTTCAAAAGAATTCTTGGCATGGTTGTACAATGAGAGCCCAGTCAGAACAACAGTTGTGGCCAACGACAGATGGGGCAAGGATACACCTTGTCATCATGGCGATTTTCTTACATGCAAAGATCGCTATAATCCTGGTAATGATCCAAAATCATTTACAACTTTAATTTATAATGCAGTGCCATTATACATTAATTAATGCAGGAGTTCTTCAGCCACACAAATGGGAGAACTGCTTGTCAATTGACAAGATATCCTGGGGTTTTCGCAGAGAAGCTGTCTTAAAGGATTATTTAACTTTGCATGAATTACTTGAACAATTAGTATCCACGGTAAGCTGTGGTGGTAACTTACTGGTAAACATAGGTCCAACCAAGGATGGACGTATCATTCCAATTTTTGAAGAAAGACTGCGAGGAATGGGTAAGCAGTAAGCGTGAACATTTTTTACATACAAATTGTTTGATCTGCAATGAATTTTACATTCCACCCTAGGAGCCTGGTTGTCAATAAATGGGGAAGCAATTTATGATACAAAGCCTTGGAGTGTCCAAAATGATACTCTGATGAAAGACACTTGGTACACTCAAAGCAAAGATGAACAAAAACTCTATGCAATATTTCTCTCCTGGCCAAAAGACAACATTCTTCAATTGAGTGCTGTCAAGCTTCCAGAGAAATCACAAATATTTCTTCTTGGCTATAAAGAGATCCAGGTATGGTAAAAGTATATTAATATATATTAAAAACATATATAAATTAAATCTAAATTTATTATAAATATTGTTTTTAGTGGAAGCAAACGGACAAATACCTAAAAGTTATATTACCTGTTGAACAACACCAAGGGAAACCAGCTTGGGTTATTCGAATTCAGCAGTGATACTGATATGACATCATTGTCCTACATACAACTCTATAAGGGATTTTTGATTCATTTTATTTATAAGAATACTTTTATATAAGCATATGTAAATTGAATGAATAAACTGCATTTGCCCCATTGGCTTTAACATATATAAGCCTTATATAAAAATAAGATCACTTTACCTCGGTTTATCTTTTAAAAGACAGTATTTTTCTCACTTATTTAGATATCTGGCCAACTTCATACAAATAAGATCCAAGCAATTTTGTCTGAAACAATATGTAAAGATATGACTCCAGATCAATGTCACTAAGAAATGTCAGTATTTTGATTGAGATATGATTAGAAGTAACAGCATTATACCTTATACGTATAAAATAATTTAATATTTATTTCCTATTACAATGGATTGAACTTACCCCTTCAATGTAATTTCGAATATTCAGTTTTTCATTTTGCGAATGAGCACCATCGTCTCCAGCACCAACTGGCAGTAGCAAAACATTTTTTCCAGTAACTTCTTGGAACGTTAAAGTAACAGGAATCGAGCCTCCTTCTCTGCAAAGGTCAGGATCAACCTTGTAAACATACTTGGTAGCTTTTCTTGCTGCTACGTAATGTGGGTGATCTGGATTTTCGGTCCAAGGTGCTCCTCCATGATTCATGAACACTTTCATTTCATTGGGGCTGTTTCTGGAGGACCATTTTTTCTCTATATGAGAAACTACCTTCTGCTCCACCTCTTTTGGCGTCATGTTAGGTACTATTCGTAAGGAGAACTTGCCAATAACTCTTCCAGGTATGACAGTTTTGGATCCTGACTCACTGAATGCTCCCTCGATTCCATGCAATGATAAAGTTGGATGACGCCAACGATGCATCAGCAGTTGGGTCTGCATTATATACATTGAAGTTAGTCATTATATATTATATTTTTTATCATTGTAGTACATATAGGATATTGCTTATACATTGAAATTACCTTATCTTCATTATGCGCTAGTCTCTTGGTTCCTACACTAGTTCGGAATTCGTTCACATCAAATTCTATATCACCATATGTATTTAACTCTGCGTCTGTAATTTTTGCAACATTGTCGTATATGCCATCAACTAAAATACGTCCATTAAGATCGACCAGTGTATTCATCAGATAAATTAAGTCAGTCATAGCCTCGTGAATGGTTCCTCCAAAGGTACCGCTGTGCAAGTCCTTGCTTGCACATGTTACAGAAAGTTCAAAGTAACAAATGCCTCGCAAACCATAAGTAATGCAAGGTTTAGTAGTACCAATCCAATAATTGTCTGAAATGCAAACATAGTCTATTCCTTTCAGGAATGTATCTTTGAGGGTCCAAAGCAATTCATCCAGGCCTTCACTGCCACTTTCTTCCATTCCTTCAAAGACAAACTGTAAACAAAATGCATTGCATATAATATAAATATGTATACAATTACAGTGGATGCTGTGATTATATAAATTAAATAAATTCTTATTCAATTATTACTTTTATGTTAACCGGAATCTCTGTCCCAATAGCTTTATAAGCTTGCAATGCATGTAACCAGCAAAGAACGGGGCCTTTATCGTCGGTGCTTCCACGACCAAAGAGTTTCCCATCCTTCTCGACAAGAGTAAAAGGTTCAGTATCCCAACCATCTTCGATCAAAGCAGGTTGTACATCCAAGTGCCCATAAATAAGTACAGTCTTTTTCGTTGGATCACTCCCGAAATCCCCTAACAATACTGGAGGCAAGGGAATTTCTGTCCCATTGGCAATTTTTTGCGTACCTATATCAGTTAGTTTCGTTTTCACAGAGAGATCTTTCAATCGCTGCTCCACCCAATGCATCATTTTTATTATCTCGTCACGTTTTTCAGGCCATGCCGAGACAGATTTAATCGCTACTGCATCTCGCAAATTACTAATGTACTCTGTTTTATGGTCATCTATGTACCTTAAATATTCATTAAATCGTGAAACTTCAAAAATTTTTTTAAATTACACATATATATAACGGCAGTCAACGTTAATATATCATTTACCGATACAATTTCTGCAATGTTGCTGGCACTTCTTCAGACATAACGTCGAAATATTCTTATGAATATTAAAACAATTCTTGAAACCTCGAATAACAAGAGCAACTGAACGACGACTGAATTGCCGAGTGGCTTGCAAAGTACTCTTATCCACTCTTATCCTGTCCTATCTAGTTTTACCTTTGGACCATATATATCTAAACCTTGCATTGAACCTCCCACTCCCAGATTTTCAATAAGCAGAATGGATTTAACTGTTGGGTGAGTCGTCGGGCAAGTGGTATGATGTACGTTTACCGACGTATCGCGTCTTTCGATGCCTTAGCTACCGAGAGGGCAGCACCGCGCAATAGTTATGAAGTTAGGGGGCCTGGCTACTCTCATCTTCTCTCTGCCCGAATTGTGCAGAGTCTGCGCAGCTGGAAAACCGAACGCGTGAGCGAGTGCCGCCTGGCGAGTGGCCTGGGAATTATACGGGCCACCTGGCGGGTAGGAGAGTCCCGTCGATATGGCCGAAAAAAGGAGAGAGGCCAAGAGAGATAACCGGACTCTGGTCGAGTTGGGAAAGTGTTGCAATTTCGTAGGGGAAAAAGTGCAAACGAGCCCGTGCGTTGGAAAGTTCGCGGAGTGCTTTTGTGAGCGCGTTTCCCCGGTCTGTATTATCCTCTTGGAGTGCTCGCCATGACGTTGATCTGAAATCGTAGGACAACACATTGATCCCGATGTTGGTCTCAGGACTGTGCCAATGTAGTTTTCGCGCTTTTCATCAGGAGAGATTCCGGGGAGGCAACTCGTGGATACCGAAGAAAGCTTCAAACCTGTTTGAAGCTTTCGAGGTCGTATTCATGGAACTATGAACCTGGACTCGTTGTCTTTTACTTTGTCACAAATCAGTTATTTGGTTGACAATTTGTCCAAGAAAAATTTTCGAGAAAGCGCCCAGGAGATATCTCTTGTAAGTTGAGAAACATCTTGCCTATTGGAGTGCCTTTAACGAGTCAGTTTTGCATGCGGCTAGCACCATTAAGTTACACCTAACCCATGTACTCAGTGCATGCTTCCCGGAAGCCTTTCGGCTTCGGTGGACGAATACTTTGCATAGGTCTTCAACGAGCATGTCGCGAGTTAACCAACATGCTGGTCAAATATTATCAAGAATCTTGGTTCGCTCGTAGCTTCATGCCCGTAGTAAACTTCTCAAGGTCATTCTTGTGATCTCGCTACTTGAACTAAACTTTGTTTTCCCCTACTTTGTCCGATATACTTCCGTTGATCTAGAATTATTAACTAAAGCTATCGAACTCAATTGCTATGATTCTTCTGCTTTGACTGAATTACGGATCTTAGTAGCTAACCTAATTTGATACTCGTAATCCGGATGAAATTAAATCATGGGGTGATGAAAGTAGAAACCTGAAATATGTATAATGTATATTATAAGCGTCGTATAGAAGGTATCATGGATGCTCGCTTGGTATTTCAGTTGGTGCAGTGGAAAGGTCTGGAGGCAGACAGACACTTGCTGCGTTGCTTGTTCTCGTACGTCGACTTCTCGGTAGGAGAACCGTTGGAACCAAGTTCAAAAGACTATTATCAAGTGCAACTGTTGAAGCAAGAGTGCACCAATCTACTGTGCAAGCCATCTCTCGTCTCCAATCTTTGCTACGCTATAGATCATCCGCTGCGACGACAAAAGGTTCCTTAAAACTTTCTTTTACATATTTTATTAGAAGATACCGATCGATACAAGGTGTTAAATATTGTTATATTTGTTACAGACTTTACATCCGTCCCCAAAGTTTTTTCTCCAATTACGTAAAGTACTTGGTTTAACTCTGGTGCAGGAGGTTGCCTTTGCGATCTGTCTGCAGCACTCTGAAAACTTGGAGATCAGAACCTTGGCACTCGAGCATATTCAGAAACAATTACCTGAATTGATAAAAAACTACGTTAATTCAGAGATTGGTAACAAACACCACGAAGAAGGACTGCACGATTCGTCTCCAGAGGTCCTCCACCTGATCCTTTCACAGGTGTTTCCAGAGCCTAATCGATTTGGACTTGCTGCCGAAGCAAAAGAAAAATTTCTCAAGAACTTGCGAAGAGATTTTCCCCGTGAACTGGTACCAGTGGTGCTAGCACCACTTTTGTATCCAGGTGACGGGGAAACACCACAGACCACTATTGAATTAAATATGGCTGCAAATCAAATGGTACGATGTTTCGTGCGCAAAAATCGGAACGTACACAGTTTTTACTCGTTGACATTTTTACATTTGGTATTTCAGGAGGGAAATTCTTTGGTGGAGTTAATTATGGAGTTGGGATATGGATTCACAAGTAGCGTCGAAGAGTGTCGATCGGCCCTGGCGGGTTTGGGTGCCAGGGAAATATCTCCGGCCTGCGTCGCTCGAGTTGTGTCGCACATGGCTCGCACTTGCAGCGGACTGGACGATGCCGGAGGTTTACAGTCCTTCTGGGGAAGCTCCGCTGGTCAGGATTCTAACAAAGAAAAGTCATCGGATGGTAGTACACCTACCACATGGAACGTCGAAGTCTTCATACAGATGCTTAAAGAAACGGTAAATTGTTTTGAGCACATCGTAGTCACTTAAATTTTCCTTGGATCGTTCTGTTTGCTCATTTTCGGTACCATGTTTTTTAGCATTCGACGCTCTCTTGGAACGAAGTGATCGTTAAGCTCGATCACTCCGATTTTATCATCAAGGACAGGCAAGGCTTGAATCTCTTGATAACGGGTCTCAGGCTCGGTCTTCAACATCAAGGCTATCCTCCGGATATGTTTCCCGTGGAGTTGTTTTATCGGCATTGGGACAACGTCGAGGGCCAGTTTTCTCTGGTGCAGCAGATCTTGAAAAGCCCCGATATATTCTGTTTTGCCGACTACCCTTACCACTCGGTAACCGTCGACGTCTTGAAAGCGGCACCCGAGGGAGATAGCAAAGAAGCTCAGACCTGGAGATCTCTGAACGTCATCGAATTGCTCCTGCACATGGCCGAGCGGGGACTATACGGCCCTGTGCAAGAGATATTCAAGTGGCCAGTTCTTCACTGCCCCGACGTCCTGGTTCTGGCTTTGCTACAAATCAATCCACCTATAACGATGTTCCGGCAAGAGTTGCTCACGGCTCTGATGCCCATTTTTATGGGGAACCATCCCAATTCCGCGGTTATTCTTCATCATGCCTGGCACAATAATTATACCAAAATGAAATCCATCATCATGCACACAATGGCCGAGTATTATCGACGGGGCGATCACGATCAGACCAGATTGTCGCGAATTCTGGACGTCGCCCAGGACCTGAAAGCTCTCTCCACGCTACTCAACGCTCAATCCTTTCCCTTTGTCATTGACCTAGCCTGCTTGGCATCTCGGCGGGAATACTTGAAATTGGAGAAATGGCTTACCGACAAGATCAGAGACCACGGGGAAGTCTTCGTCGCCGCGTGTGTGAAATTCTTGCAGCGAAGATGTCCCCAAGTCATGGGCCCGGGCATGAAGGAAGATCCTAACACCCCTAAAGCTAGCCAACTGCCTCAGGAAACGCTTACGACGATACTCGCCTGCCTGCAAGTTTGCGCTGGGTAAATATAATCTCATTTCCTCTTTGACGCGCATTCATTGTTTGTTTCCGATAGGGAGTTTTAACGAAACTCGGTTCGTATTTCAGGAGCGTGTCGCAAGAGTGTTCGGAAGCGATAATGACCATGGTACAAAATTGTAGTCTGATGTTAAGCAAGGCCAGCATGAGTAGACCTCCTCCACCGGGAGTCCTGAGACACCGAGGGTTGGAACCGTTCAATCCGGCAACGCTGGGGGGTCAGGTAATCGACGGAGATGCAACGAACGAAAGAAGGGAGAAGGCGCGACGGGAGAAATGACTCGAGCTTGGTGTTTCAGCTCTTCTCGTCGAAGCAAGTGGATCCCCTGGCGAATCTCAGCTCGAGCTTGGCCTCGATGGCCCTGGGCTCCAGCCTGGGTCCACCGAGCAGTTCGGCCTTTAATCTGCCCGGAGCCCTGGGGCCCCTGGTCTCGGCGCCGGGCTCTCCGTCGCGACTGATGGGTCCCTCGCCCAGTCCCTTCCCGATGCTGCCCCTGTCTTCTCAGCTGCACTCCGGTCCGGTAGGGACGCAGGGTCCGTCCATAGTGCCCGGAGGCACCACGATCAGTGGCCTGGGTCGCCTCGGCCCGCCGACTGGAATCGAAAAGGCACGGCCCCCGGAGACGTCCAACCTGTTCCCTGACATGGCGCAGAACGTGTCGAAGGAGATCGAGGACGAAGCCAACAGCTACTTCCAGCGGATATACAATCACCCGCCTCATCCGACTCTTTCCATCGACGAGGTGCTCGACATGCTCAAGAAGTTCCAGGACTCAAGCAGCAAAAGGGAAAGAGAAGTCTTTAACTGTATGTTGCGGAACCTCTTCGAGGAGTACCGCTTCTTTCCCCAGTATCCCGATAAGGAGCTGCACATCACTGCCCAGCTCTTCGGGGGGATCATCGAGAGAGGGCTCGTCAATAGCTGCATGACCCTCGGCCTGGCGCTGAGATTTGTCCTCGACGCTCTGAAGAAACCCGAAGGTAGCAAGATGTACTACTTCGGCATAGCCGCGCTGGATCGCTTCAAGAGCCGGTTGAAGGAATACCAGAATTATTGCGAGCACGTTAGGGCGGCCATTCAGCACTTCAGCGAGTTCCCGCCGCATCTGATCGAGTACGTCGAATACGGTCTGCAGGGACAAGAGCCTCCCACCAGGCCCCAAGGACCAGTGCTTCCGAAGACCTTGGCCGCGATCCTGGCTCCCGTTACGACACCCTATAAAACTATTACGACGACCACGATAACCACCAGCACGACCCAGTCCAAACCCTCGACGACGCCCACCACGTCGCTCTCGGCTCGAGTATGCTCACGTTTTTGTCATTGTTCTTTTAGACCCAGGCGATTTAGGGTGCCGTTATACGTAAGAAGTATTGTTTGTAGCCTGATAATTAAAACCTCACTGTGATTCTATTTTAGCCGTCGATAGCGAACGCGACGAATATCGACACTCTGCTGGTAGCAACGGACAAGGAAGAAAAAATCACGAGCCCTCCGGAAGCTCTACAGGATAAGACTGCGTTTATTTTCAATAATCTCAGTCAGCTGAACTTGCAACAGAAGTGCGACGAGATTCGGGAGATCGTAACGGAAGAATATTGGCCGTGGATGGCGCAGTACTTGGTCATGAAACGAGCCAGTATCGAGCTAAACTTTCACGCCCTGTATTCCAATTTCCTGGACTGCTTGAAGCTCGCCGAAGTTAACAAAATGGTCACTAGGGAAACCTTTAGGAACATTAAGGTATTTCGCGTTTTGACTTGAAAGTCGGCGTTTCATATCTTGCGCAATTATAATAGAGACGGTACGTTATGTTGCAGGTATTGTTAAGAAGCGACAAAGGCATAGCAAATTTTTCGGACCGATCGCTGCTGAAAAATCTTGGCCACTGGTTGGGAATGCTCACTTTAGGAAGAAACAAACCAATTCTGCAGGTCACTATTTTAATACGTAACGTTGATTATTTCGTTCGTTCCATGCATTCGGTAAGCAATTCTTCATCGATCTAAATTAGCAGGTTGATATAGACCTAAAAAGTCTACTCGTCGAGGCGTATCACAAAGGGCAGCAGGAACTTTTATACGTGGTGCCTTTCGTGGCTAAGGTTTTGGAGAGTTGTGCAAAGAGTCGGGTCTTTCGACCACCGAATCCCTGGACGATGGCCATCATGAATGTCTTGGCGGAGCTACATCAAGAACCGGATTTGAAATTGAACTTGAAATTCGAGATCGAAGTTTTGTGCAAGAACCTCAGCATCGATGTATCCGTGAGTGTCGGCCACCCTGCCTTAAATCCATCCAGATTACGACCAAAGATGGATTTTATTTTTCACTCGGTGTTCCTTTCTCCATCAGGAATTAAAGCCGGCGATCTATTTGAAAGATCCCGAAAAACTGCGCAATTTGGAATACCAGTTATCACATCCCAACAAGAAAGTCGAGCCGCCAGGTAATCCTCCGCAAAGCCAAGGTCCGATTAAAGAATTAGTAGGTCCAGCTACAACTGCGACGATGGTGCCTCAGCCAGCACCTCCGGTTAATACGACGCCTTCGTTGCCCACGGAGACCCCGGAGCCTCGGTTCAATTATATGGATATATCCGTTACGGGCATTGCCAACATCTCTCAGCATATCACAATCAATAATCAAGTACGGTTTAGCTTATTTTTCCGACAAATTATTCCAGGGTTTTTCGTACCGTCCACAATACTCACTGGCGTTACCTTCCAGCTGCCTTTATTCCAAACTCATCCACACCTGAAGCAATTCGTTCGCCCAGCGGTTGAAAGGGCTATTCAAGAATGGATTCACCCAGTGGTCGATCGATCCATTAAAATAGCTTTGACCACTAGCGAGCAAATCGTCAGGAAGGACTTTGCCCTGGATCCCGAAGAGGCACGAATGAGAACGGCGGCTCGGCACATGGTCCGAAATCTGACCGCCGGGATGGCCATGATTACCTGCCGCGATCAGGTAAACTCTGCGTGATTAGACGATCCACCTCTGACTTGATTAACGGGTCTACAAATAATCCTTCTCAAACCGCCGTTGCAGATACTCGCCTCGATCGGCACGAACTTGAAGCAAGCCTTCATCACCGCCATGATGGCGACGACGCCCCAACAGAAGGAAAGCGCCGAACAAGCCGCGAACGTCGTAGCTGCCGACAACATGGAGTTGGCGTGCGCGTTCGTGCAGAAAACTGCGATCGAAAAAGCCATACCCGAAATGGACAAGCGTCTGCTGAACGAGATGGAACTGCGTAAAATCGCTCGACAGGAGGGTAGGAGGTACTGCGATCCGTTGGCGAAATATCAGGCCGAGCGTATGCCCGAACAGATCCGCCTAAAGGTCGGTGGCATCACCCTCCAGCAGATGGCCGTTTACGAAGAATTCGCCAGGAATATTCCCGGGTTCTTGCCCCTCTCCGAACGGGACACTCAGGCCCTCTTCATGCCCAAACCTATTACGGTACGCTCCCGGTTCCTTTTCTCTTGCTGTGCGTTAATTCGTGGGCAGGATCGAACGTTTCTCTGTTTCGATTACAGGAGCCATCCGTGACGGCCTTCGCGAGCAATCCCGTAGTCGCGGTGGCGACCGCCCAGCAGGTCGCGGCGTACGCGGCCGCGGTCAGCAACGACGAGGTCGGCGCGATGCTGGAAAAGCTGGCCACGGAGGTGGAAGTATTGCTCGCAGCGATGGGTCCTGCCGCGCCTCCTCCTCAACACGCGGCTCTTCACAGTCTCCTGGAAGCCATCATCCTCACGAGACGCTCCAGAGGGGCCGGTGCAGCCATGGCGCTACTGAAAAAAGTAGGTCTTCGGATTTAACGATCGCCAAGGGTACCGAGCGGTACCGCTGGAATGTACGTTTTCTTTTCTCCAAAGGCCGTGGAAGGACTGCTAGACAGCCCGGCCATCTCGAGCGGCGTGGTGGACTCGGAGATCACGATGCGCTACCGGGAGCTGCATCTACGTATCCTCGCGTGTTTGCAAGACCCTAGAGCCTACGGAATGCAGTGGACGAATAAGCACGTGACTCGTTGCCTGACGGAATGCAGGGATGAATTTCGATACAACTTTGAAGCCGTCGATTGTCTCGTCAGGTGACCGCTCGTCTATTCGAAGAAAGCGGGAGAACCGGCGAATCGGGACGCCACCTTAACGACACTTGTTCTTTCAGGTCGCACCTATTGAGTCTTCCTCAGTACGACCTGGCCTTGGCCCAGGCGATGGATGCGGGGAACGCGATGGCGACCGCCTTCGCGATGCAGCTGGTGCAGCTGTACCTGATCGACGAGAGACAGACCACGCACGTCTCGGAGTCGGACCTTTGCCACACGATCGACATTCTCACGAGGATGACCCAGCTGCGAGCCCCTCCGGAAGGGTCAGTACGCGCGACTTCCTCGCGACGGAGGAGAAACCGCTCTAATTGCGACACGTCCGTTTCTGCTTGCAGCATCTCCCTGTTTAGGCTGACCAGTCTGATGGAGTCCCTCCGCGTGAACCAAGACCCGAATCTGCTGGTCGACAGAGCACCTGCCGGGCCCACTTCGCACATTCACACTGGAATCCACCAGGTGAGAGTAAGTAAAATTTGCGGTGACGCTCGGATACGCGCGCTAGAGCTGGACCGTCGAGACGATGACCGCGACCCGATCGGTTTTAGGCTCGCGATTTCGACGACCCTCCGGGCCTGACGGAAAAGACGGAATACCTGCTTCGAGAATGGGTCTCCATGCATCACAACCCCGCCAACGCCAGAGACCCGACCAAGGCCTTCGGAATGTTCGTCCACCAGATGAATATCCACGGAATCTTGAAAACGGACGACCTCATCACGAGGTTCTTCAAGCTGAGCACGCAGATGTGCGTGGACCTATGCTATCGGGCGCTCGCGGAGACGAACACGGCGCCCTCGGTGGTGCGAGCCAAGTGCTTCCACACCCTGGACGCGTTTGTGCGACTGGTGGCCCTCCTCGTCAAGCACTCGGGGGACACGAACAATACGCACACCAAGATCAACCTGCTGAACAAGGTGCTGGGAATTGTTGCCGGCGTCTTGCTTCAGGACCACGAGATGCGCGGAACCGACTTCCAACAGCTGCCCTACCACCGGATCTTCATCATGCTCTTCCTGGAGCTGTGCGCCCCGGAGCCGGTCCTCGAGGCCGTTAACTATCAGGTTCTGACGGCGTACTGCCACACCCTGCACATCCTGAGACCCGCCAAGGCTCCGGGATTCTGCTACGCCTGGCTCGAGCTGGTCTCTCACCGAGTCTTCATAGGACGAATGCTGGCCATCACGCCGCAACAGAAGTGCTGGGGAATGTACTCTCAACTGCTCAACGACCTCTTCAAGTATCTGGCTCCGTACCTTCGCAACGCCGAGCTGGCCAAACCCGTTACCTTGCTGTACAAGGGCACCCTCAGGGTCCTTCTGGTGCTGCTCCACGACTTCCCGGAGTTTCTTTGCGACTACCACTACGGGTTCTGCGATGCGATCCCGCCCAATTGCATCCAGATGCGGAACCTGATTCTCAGCGCCTTCCCTAGGAACATGAGGCTGCCCGACCCCTTCACTCCCAATCTGAAGGTCGACATGCTGCAGGAGATTGCGCACCCACCAAGAGTTATCACGAATTACTCGTCCACGATTCAACCGCTGAGCTTCAAGAAGGAGCTGGATTCTTATTTGAAGGCCCGAGCGCCGGTTACGTTCCTGTCGGAGCTGCGCAGCAACCTGCAGGTCTCTCAGGAAGCCGGGATGAGATACAACATACCTCTGATGAATGCCTTGGTCCTCTACGTCGGCTCTCAGGCCATTATCTTCATCAGGAGCAAGGGTCACACCCCCAACATGTCGACGATCACGCACTCGGCGCACATGGACATCTTCCAGAATCTGGCCGTTGACCTCGACACCGAGGGCAGATACCTCTTCTTGAACGCGATCGCGAACCAGCTCAGATACCCTAACAGTCACACTCACTACTTCAGCTGCACCCTCCTCTACCTCTTCGCCGAGGCCAATACCGAGGCCATACAGGAGCAGATCACGCGGGTCCTTTTGGAGAGACTCATCGTTAACCGACCTCATCCTTGGGGTCTGCTCATCACCTTCATCGAACTCATCAAGAACCCCACCTACAAGTTTTGGACGCACGAGTTCGTACACTGCGCACCCGAGATCGAAAAGTTCGTTCGCTCTTCCTCCTGGTAGATCGCCGATCGTACCTTCCAATGACCGGACTCGCTCTTCTTTTTGCAGATTGTTCGAGTCGGTGGCGCGATCGTGCATGGTCCAAAAGCAAGTGCAGCCCGCTCCGGAATCGGAGATCCCCGAGTGATAAGACGTTCTCCCAGGTTCCCGTATGTCGAGCACCTTGTGTACAGTGACGAGAAGATACCGTAAAGATAAGGAGCGCGTGTAAAAAGTCGTTGAACTACGTGTAGGTGTACCATATGCATCTCGAGCCGTAGACGCTCGTTCGTTTTTTTTTTCTCCCCTTTCTTTTTCCGGCGAGCAAATACGAGGTAATCGTCGAGGGAATGCCGTATCCCGGAGAGGTGGGACTAGCGATAAGCGATGGAGTTTCAAATGTTAAATATTTTAATAATCAATTCATCGCCGAGAAGCAACTCTTCGGTGATAGAAATTGTAAAAAGGAATATATATATACATATATATATTTACGGACGGACACGTACATGATGTTCTGTAAACGACTTTACGGAGAAGCATCGGACGGGCTTTGAGTCGAACCGAATGCCGCGTGGAAGCGAACCGTCGGACGGTCTTTACTTCCCTTAACGGTTTGCCTCCACGAGAGCTCCGGCTCCGTCGTCGCCGAGAAGGGCGAAAACGGTGTTCACCGGAGTACCGGAAATGAATCATCTTTAATTTCTATTAGCGATTAACGCGTATCGAGGATAAACGGCACAAGTCAAGCACCAGATACGGTCATTCGTCGCCGCTCGAGGGATAGCCCGATCTCGCCGGCTGGAGAGCTGTGATTCGTAGTGTTTTCTCAAAAATTAGTTTTACTCTCCAGAGGCGTCGGCCCGAGAGCGAACCTCCGTACGAACGTGTTGTACATACATATTATCTAACGTATATGCGTCGGTACTCTCTGGAATACGGGGAAACGCGGAGAAACGGGGAAAGGGCGCCTTCGCGAGTCTCGAGTTGCATCGAGTTAAGAAATCAGGGACGACGGTGACACTTTGTGGAATCATTTATTCGACGTATTTGTTGGATGCAACAGGTGGGGGTGTGCTTCGGGACTCCGAGATCTTGAGTGCCGCCCTCCGCGTCCGAGGACCTTGGACGGTCGGGTTCTTGGCCCGTGTAAGCGGTACTCGACGGTATTATCTTGTGTAAAGAAAAGAACGTTCAATTACAATTTCGTAGTATCTTAATCTTGCAGTACTTTCCTGTCTACCTCGACATGGGGAACGGCTCTTTATCCTGTAAAATGGAAATTGTGTAAAAGAGAACTCGTTTGTAGATGTTAGTTGTTTTATTGTATAATTTATTTTTCTTTCCTGCCGCTTCTCACTGTAGTTTCGAGCGTGTTCTTTGGTCTCGCTTCATTTTCATTTTCCCGCCAGATTTTAAAGATGCTGGGGAATGACCGCCATCTTTAGCGAAATTTCCATGCCGCTTCGTTCTCATTGGTCGGTTCTTGTGTATCCTGTGGCACGTCGTTCCGCATAAATCGATCCGTGTAAACGCACGTTACTGTCTCTGTCATTCGACAATCTCGCTCTTTCCAGCCGAAGTCGTTGTCAACGGTACCGGAGTGGGAACCTATCGTTTCATGTGCTTTCCTTTTCTTCTAGTCGAAACGACCGATAAGTTATACGCGATACTATGGCGGTGAGCTCACATACTTATTCGTGCCGCGGCTTTCTTTTATCACGACTTAGAATTACGTAGAAAAGATTGTCGCTATGAATGGCTGTTGACCGCGGGTGTCGTTCACCTACACGACTCACACGTGGATTTCGCTACACGTGGAACCGCGATGACATCCCTCTCGTGGACGAGTCTCGAAGTTCTTCAAACTTTTAACCAAGTCCATTCGATTTGGATTATCATAGAACATAGTTTTCGCCCGCAAACGAACTATTCGTAATTACGTAAAGTATGGACGAACGGAGAAATAATTTTACTACATTTGTAGCCACCGACGAAGAGCACCAAGGTAGCAACGAGAGGTGCAAAGCAAATAGCGGAGGAGAACCTTTCGACGTTATGCTTTTACAGAAACATGATTTTTGGAGCGTCAGGACTTTATTTTACGATCATGACGACTTTCTTCGAGTTTACAATTACCTCGATAGTATGTCTGCTCATCTTCACAAGTTTTCAATAAATGTAGATCTATAGGGGGAATTGTTTAAAAAATCATTAATTGCAGCTTATGAGTATATTGTCGATGGCTGCGTACATAGGAAGTTACCAATTCATGGCGTACATGGCACGAGCCAAATATTCCGAATCTGGACAACTCCTAGATTCCGGGATTGACCTTAATATGGAAGGCGGTATTGCTGAGTGAGTGTAACGAGCTATGCGATTAGAAAAGTAACGCCTCCGATACATGAATTAAGTATTTTAGGATAATTAATGTATTTATCGAGAAACGTTATTTTTCAGACATATAAAGGATTTAATTATTCTAACTGCCGGGGTGCAGACACTTTCAATCATTTCGAATTACTTCTGGTTGCTATGGCTTCTGGTACGTATATGAGCTTCTGCGTGTCTTTTCAAGTTTACAAGATAGACCCCTAGAATGTATCGCCGTTTTACAGGTTCCCGCACGAGGGATGTGGATGCTCTGGAACAAAATCTTAGGTCCTTGGTTCTTTGCTCCTCCTCCAGAAGTCGACGAAAAGAAGCAGCGGAAGATGGAAAAAAAAATGTCAAGGAGGCATTGAACTCAATTTATCGGAACATCTTTAATAAGATAAAATCTCTACACCAAAAGTATTCCAGCCATGAAAGTAAGGGAAACAAGGTTTATCGATCTTATTTGTCATATATGATTACTCATTACTCTTAAGGAGTATATTGTATCATAGATGACACATCTAATTGGACGTTTACTAATTAAGTCCATAAAGCGATTGCCCATTATGAAATGTTGAAGCAACTTTTGATACCGTAAAAAAGGATTCGCGTCATCATCGTGTTAATTGTTCGTTGTCTTTGCGTACGTACTATGAGAGGAATCAGTTTTTATTAGAATTAAAATTACAAATTCAAATGACGTCTGGGCGACATTCTGTAGGATAAACTCGTGTCGATGCAAATGACGTCCTCGAATGCTCTGGAACGATGTGCTGCAAATAAGCAATTTCTTAAAACCACCTAAAATTCATTTTCGCTCAAGCGCCCTCAATAAAATACAGACAGATGGTATTTTAACCGTTTTCAACAAGACCTGAGAAAACGCAGACCATTTTCAATTGAAATGCACCCTTTTTTTTTCTTCGAAAACGCGATTAAAGGAAAAGGCCACTTTTACATAATTTTGTTTTAGATGGCGGTACTTAATTAAATCGTACCTCGAATATAAAGCATTCAATCGATAAGAACGAGAGGACCGTGCACAAACATCAATGGAAAATACAATTTAAAGCGACGATGACTAATGATCAATAACTTCTTTTTTATCATACGCGCTCGAAGCATGGAAACGTATTCACAAGTAGCAAGAAAAGACGTTGGAATTAATTTAAATGATTCCAAGTTCAATAAGTTACGTCGATGTTCATTGACGTTGACTAAGGAATCGATCGTCGGTTCAAGAATTCCAACAACGATCGTCGAGAAAAGTGCACGGTCACTCGGGGACACCTTGCTGCGTTTCCTCGAATCGGAAGTATCAGACAAAATTTTGCCTCTGCGACCTCTGCGTCCAACGAGGATTTTCGAGGTGCGTCGAAGAACGGTCCAGGGAATAATTACTGCGAAGCAACGAGGCGGCGCGGCGCGACTCTACGGACGATTCCGGTAATTGGCAGGAACATGGGCGGGGACGCGGGCGCGTTTCAGGTCCAACGTATATACCCGTCTCCCTCTTCCCGCCTCGGAAGATGTTTACATAGCAGGGGACAAAAGGGAGGGGAAGAGGGAACGAGACCCGTGAACGGCTTCGCTCGATCACCGCGTCGATCGCCGTCGAAGTTACCCCGACGCGGATCGTACCTTGGCGATGACGCGAATATTAGGTCCGACCGACGCAGTTACGGGAGCGGAACCATAAGAAAGGAGCAATCGGTAGATCGCGTTACGCGGCCGGTTCGCAGCGTCGCCGAGGGTCCGCACCTGGCCGCGCCGGATAGCGTATCGCGCGAGTTTTCGCATCCCCCGGGTCCTCGGGGTGCCCCTGGCGAGGGATCATCATTCCCACTCGCCGCCCCCCGAGATCGGACGAACCATAGGTGGGACGAACCGGCGACCGCGGGCCAAAGGTTGAGGCCAGTTTCTACCGCGGTTTTTTCTCCTACTGTCGTAAGCGCCACGCTCTTCTACATAAGTCGGCGGCCACGGGGCAGGGAACTCAGTACCATCGGAACGAAGAGGAGGCTCCCTTCGGCCCGAATAGCCCGCGACCGAGGACCCAAGAGCCGCTCCCGTCTCCTATCTCTTCGCTGACGACCGAAGACCCGGAGACATGGTGCTCGCGTTCCTCGCGCTCCTTGGGCTCCTCGCGCTCCCGGGGCCGAACCCGGGCCTGGCCGCGGGTACCGGGGCCACGTGCGCCGCCAGGTGCGAGGGCGCCAACTCGACCCGGGGCGCGGACGCGAGGCGCCTCCCGAGCCGAGTGGCCACCCTCGAGCCCCGACGCAACGACTCGCGGCAGCTCGGACACCTTGACCGGCTCGGCCAGCTCTCGGAACCCGAGGCGGAGGTCCCGGCCACCGGCTGGTTCACCGACGTCCCGCTGCTACCGATCGTCTTCGCCACCTCCCCCTCGCTCCAGGACGGCGCCTGCAAGCGGCAAGCCGCCAGGTTCTTGAGGGAGCTGCACAACGGCACCCTCTGGGCCGTTAAGAGTAAGTTCCTCTCGCGCCGCCTCCTCGGGGAACGTCGCCCTGATAACGCCCCGAGACAATCGGGCTATCGCGCTCGGACGTGTCCGGGGGAGCGAGTCGAGGAGCCGCGGACGTCGAAACGACGAGAGTTGCGCCGATTCAATCGAAATTGGACGCTTCGAAGTCGATAATTCGGCGCATCTCTTGATAATTCTCGTCATAGCTTCGCCGATTTATCTATAAGCCGTTATCGGACGAATGGTCGTGTTTTCGACTCCGGCACGGCCCGGATCGCCTCGTTATCTTCGTCGAGATATCGGCCTCCGAGCCGGCTCAAGGAGCTGCCGCCGATTTTCGTCGATCGGCACGAATCCGTAGGGCCGTCGCCGTTTGGCCTTAAAAATGTGATAGTATTCGGTGATTTCGAACGATTTCCCCACATCATTACTAGCGTTAAAATCCGTGATTTCTTAAGTGAATACCCCTTCGCCCGTCGCGGTAGCGACCGGCAAAGGTCGAAGACGAGGACCTGTCGCTCGCGGCTGCGGCCCAGAGTCGGGAGTCACGCCGGTCGCGGTTTTTTTTCTTCTTTTTTTCTTTATGGCACGCGACAATGCCCCTCGAACGATCTATCGGGAGAAATGGGTCGATTTGCTCGGACGCCGACCGGGTACCCTCGCTCGGCGCGGCCGCTTTTTGCCACTTTTGCCGGATTCTCGGGTGCGTTTCAAACGAGTTCTTGCGCCTCTCGGATGACGCGCCGTCGCGTTCATTTCCATATCGGCCGCGGAAAGATTTGCATTAGCCGGAATCCGTTGTCGCGCCCCAAAGAAAAGAATCATATCGGAAAATACCCGAGCCTCGGCTGACCGGCGGCCCTGACGTCGATACCGCCCACGACCGACCGATCGTGTTTCGGTCTTTTCCGTGGCGATGCGCGTCCGCTTTGCCCTCGACTCGGGCCCGATTCCAAGAACGATCCCCTTTTCCCTTTCTTCCTGCTATGACGGACCTTTCCCGACCGCCGTGCGTCGAGAGATTCGCCCGGAACCGACCGCGAGGATCGATTACGGTTCGTTCTAGGCAAACAACCGAGCGCAGGCACGAGATTCGCTCAGGAATTGAATTTCAACGCGACGAGCATTAACATTATCCACCGAGCTTATTCCTCGAGGAAAAAGATGGGAAAAGACCGATAGGCCCGCGCCGCGTTATCGCTCGACCCCCGAAAAGAGTCCGATGCCTTCAGCTCTTTCGTCTGGATTTCCGCCAAAACGACGCGCCGAGATACGTAATCGCGCCCGGGCCCGCCCGGGCGAATTCTCGACCCTCCTTGACCTCGCGCCGTCCCGAAGGATCGGGTCGGTCGGCGCGAGGTAAGGTTATCGTCGCGGTCGCGGGAGCGAAGGTGCCCCATGAGAAGGTCGCCAGGACTGAGGAATCGTTCGGTGCAGTGTACGACGCGTCCACCAAGTACCCCAACGGGATCGTGAACGGTCACACCCGGCACGTGGGCAACTTCGACGAGTGCTACGAGCTGCGCATCCCGCCTCCGGAGACTCGACATGGCGAGGGCGACGCCCCCGGAAGGTACTGCCTGGTCGACGTCGAGTACCGGAGAGACTCGGACCTCGAGCTCCCCTCGAAGGGCCCGTTCACCCTGGAGTTCGATCCGAACGACTCCGCGTGGGAAGCCATCAGGGTAAGCGCTATCGCTCGTCGCTACGCACGACAAGGGGTTAACCGAGTCCGGGTCGGCGTGCGCAGGAGAAGGGCGACTTCCGCCGAGTCAAGAGGTACATGATCCAGGGAGCCCTCTGCGTGCCCTCCGCCTGCAGCGCGGCGGACATTGAGGCGGCCCTCCAGGAACCGCTCGGCAGGATCGCGGCCTCCAGGGGCATCCGCCTGCGGACCTCCGTCGACCCGATCCTCTGCCAGTCCCGAGACGAGGCGCCTCGGTTCACCCGGGGCTCCGCGGTTTATGGGTAAGCTTCGGAGACGGAGACTCTCCGCCGAGACTTCCTCGGCGGGAGGTCTCACGCCTCCGCGGTCTTCTCCTCTTTCAGGCTCATCGTTCTGGCTCTCTTTGCCCTGGTGACGATCGGCACGCTATGCGACGCCCCCTCCGACAGGGACGACGACCCTGGGACTTCCGTAGGAAGAAAGCTGCTCTCGTGCTTCTCGGCGCGGAGGAACCTCGCCAGTGTCTTCACCGTCAACTACAACCACCCGGGCCTCGACTGCATCCACCTCATGCGCTTCTTCTTCACCTCGCTCGTCGTTCTAGGGCACAGAAGCTTCCAGAATCACATCAACTCCATCAACAATGCCGACTATTACGAGAAGGTAGTTCGCTTACCGTCTGAATTCTTTTTTTATTCTTTTCCGCCGACGAACGAACGTCCTTCCCTTTTACAGGTCTGCTCCTATCCGTTAACGGCGTTGTTCCTGAACGGCGCGACCGTCGTGGACGCCTTTCTCGCAATGGGAGGCCTGTTGGGAACTTACTTCGACTTGCACGAGCTCGACAAACGCGGACGCTTTGACGTTCCTAGTCGCATCCTGCTCCGCTTCCTGAGGTACGGCTCGGTGGGCGGCTTCTCGTCCGAGCGAGGAATCCGAGTAACGTATTTTTCTTTCAGAGTCACTCCTGCGTACGCGATGGTCATCTTCTTTGATATTCTGGTTTTGCCCGTGCTCGGGTCGGGACCGCTTTGGAAATCGTACGTCCTCAAGGAGAGGGACAATTGCGCCAATTATTGGTGGGCGAATATTTTATTCCTCAACAATTACGTCGGAGAGCAGAACATGGTGAGAGTTTGGTCGGACGCTGTCCCGGCGTGACTGGAATTGAAAAACGAATGGGGAGAGAGAGAAACTATCGCGGGCGACGAATGATAATTATACTTATGACAGGAAGATAATTTTAGCCGTTAAGTTTAATCCTCGACGCGGAATTAATGGCCCGGGGTTTTCCTTGCAGTGTCTCTTCCAGTCCTGGTATCTGTCCGCCGACTTTCAATTGTTCCTGCTGTCGTTGCCGATCGTCTACATATTCTGGCAGCTTCCCCGCAAGTACGGCTACGGATTCCTCGGAGTTGCCATTGCGGCGAGCTGCGTGGCCCCTTTCGTCTTGTCTTACTCGTACAACGTTAGCCCCATATTCGTAGGATTGCCTCAGTAAGTATTTCTCCCCCGGCAAACGGAGTTCCCTCGAGTAATGGACACGATCGTCGCGTTGCAGCATGCGCGAGCTCTTGAACGTGGAGTACTTTTACAAGTACTACGTGAAATCGCATCTGCGCATCACGTCGTACTTGGTGGGAGTGTTGACCGGGGCGATCCTCTACGACTTCAAGGGAATCAAATGGCGACTGCCGAAAGTAAGCTGCAAAGCGGAAACGGCTCGTTACCCGGTTGTCGTTTTAACGAAGACGATGCGCTCGATTTTCAGGTGTGGTCTCAAATCTCCTTCATGGTCCTGGTGGTCGCGCTCAGTGTCACCACTCAAGCCATCGGTCACAAGTACTTCGACCCCAACAAGTTGCCCGGTCGTCTGGAGGCCGCGCTCTACGCCAGCTTCCACAAGTGCGCCTTCGTCGTCGCCATGTGCGCGGCGCCGATTCTATTCACCATCGGTGACGGCTTGAGTAAGACGCAACTTTCGTTCGAGACGAATTTAAAGAGCTCCCTAGAAATAAGAAAGATCCGTCTCCTCCCTGCCGTGTCGGTATCGGACATCGAAAGGTAGCAGGCGGTATTGCGACATGAATCATCTCCTGACTTCTCACCCGTCCGAGCCTTTGAGTTCTCTTTCGAACTCCAGGGAGTCGGCCTTGGGGAGGAGTAACGTTTTGCTATCGCTGCCGGTGAAACACGGAAAGACTCGGCGCGTGGAAAAAACGCGCCGATTAAGCCTTGACTGCTCGATTAATGAAGGCGTCAAGAAACGCCTAAGCCCTGGCCCGAAATGACTGTTTTTTTTTTTCTTCCAAAATAGCAGTCCCGAGTTTTCCTCCTAAAATTATGCGACTCTCGTTCAGAGTTCCAGTACAATTTCTTCACGCCAGCTTGGGTGCAACCGTTGGCCAGATTAACGTACGGCGTCTACCTCGTGCACGGCATCAACCAAGCGTACTCCATGGGAGTCGCTCGAACTGCCAGGACCGCTACCGTACACGGACTGGTATAAGGAAATTTCATATTTCACGTCAAGCAGTTGTTTCGATGGCGTATCTTACCATTGCTTACACGATCTGTATCTCATTGCAGGTATTTGACTGGATTGGCGACATGGTTCTAACGTTTTCCGTGTCATTACTTATAGCGATTACTATCGAAGGACCTTTTAGAAGATTCTCCAAGCTCCTATTCATAGAACTGGAAAAGAAGAGACGAAAAGAAAGGTCAGTTGTCGGTAATGATCATCGGCCGTTCTCCGAACTGGACCGAACTCGTTAAACTCGCGTTACTTCAACTTACTATCTCCCTCTTTCCTTCAGATCATCGAGGATCACGGAGAAGAAGACCGACTAGTCAAAGACGACTTATTAGAGTTAACTAGCCAGTAAATTATTCCGGTGTAAATTATGTACATTTTATGCATGCGTACTCTATTCGTTGTGTATATATTTTACTGCATTACCATGTGCGAAACGTTTCTTATTATCTATACGTATACAATGTACAAGATGTTTGCTTAGAACTCCACGTACTCTTTTTTTTTTTTTTAAGTGACCGACGAGTTCTTAAAGAGGTATTCTCGATACTCGGTAAAACGTATTGATCGGGAATCCCATTCCTCTTCTTCCGTACGTAGTAGATCAAAGGCGATTACTCGAGGAATTCAGGCAAGGTGCGAAGAAACGATTACGTAAAAGATCCTTGAATAGTTTTGGAAACGTCACGAATTTCATATGCAATTAAAAGTCCTTGGAACATGGGCAATCGTTAAAAACGATGGAAGAACGCGTGACCGAGTTGACGCGCGACATCGAGCACGGTCGGTGGCCGTGACTCTTTCGACGTCTTTACGGGGACTTTTTAGCCATGCTCCGCCACGGTCAGAAATACTTGTGGCAGATGAGATTTGTCGCGCCGAAAACACCTTCCTATAACCGGTTTCCATTCCAAGCCACTTGCTACGCGATTTCGTCAGTTCAAATTCCAGAGTTCGCTGAACGCTCACGAAAAGATCCCTGTAACGAGAAAGGAAATACGCTCGCGAGACCGTCGGCAGAAAAAGGGACAGATTTTTTTTTTAACCCAGATGAAATTTATGCCCGAAGAGCGAAGCGGACTTACCTCGGTCAGTCGTTAACACGAGGCGAAGGATTAATCGGAATAATATATTGAATTTAGCAATTCAAATCCAAGGAAGATGACCTCGCTCCGTTCCGCTCCTCCGACAATGGTCCCCCTTGAATAATTACGGTCATAAAGGGTCAAGGCAAAGTGTCCGAAATGACGAGTGGGATACCTGTAATTATCTTACATATGCTCTCGAGCGCGGGGATGTTTCATCTTCGCCGAGCGCGTGCCATGAGTCTCGCTGGCCGAATAATTTTTACGTATTGTTTTGGAAAACGTATATTCCATATCTCGCTGATACTATTTGGCAATTTCATAGCTCGCTCGGTCTCGCGATCCCTCCGGGCTGCTGCAGCCTGCAGGTGCTATCAGAGATGGTGCTGCCCGTGCTACTTCTACAGAGTGCATTTTCAACCCTGCCAATTGGGTTTCTTCCATTTTTCATCCCTATTGCTTGCGCCATCTGGCGCTGACAGGTGACCGTGAATTCGCACGATCCAATTCGACCGACCAGCCTCGTTGACCGCTAGAGATAAGGGAGGGGACAACGGTCAAGAGACTGTCGGGCTTCGGAAGGTATGCGCGTCCTTGTCGTTTCGACCGTCGACTCGTGCGTGGAAGAGAGACGCAGTTGCGGCGGTCTCCTGCGAGCGAGAGGTAGGGCACGCGACGAGTCGGAACGTTCTCGCTTGATCTTGGCGACGGCCGCTCGGCCAATTTTTCGGGCAAACAGGGGTCGACAGGGGACACGGTTGCGAAACCGAGGGCGACCGGCTGCAAGTGGTTGCAACTGAGGTGAAAAGTACGCACGCGGCACGCCCGGAGCACTCGATGCAGGGCCGAGGGATAAGTGCAGGTGTATGCGCGGTCGCGGATCGCGGTGCCGCCACCACTGTGTATCGCTGCGCGGAACAGGTTATGTCGTATTACGTCCCGTGCGCCCAGAGTGGCCGGAGGATGACTCGAAGTGTGCACTAGCTCGCGGAGGGTCTTTGCGCGGCCTCGGGAAACCTTTAAAGGTTGCGAATGTCGATCAAGACGTCGCAAAAGGTCGGCCCATCGAAACAGGTCGCAGCCTCGTAATGACTTCGCGGATGTAACGCCTAGCCGATGATCTGGAAGTTGCGTCGAAACGCGACCTGACCAACCTCGAAAGAAATGGTAAGATTCGATTGTTAATTGGCCTTCTGATCGATGACATGCCGTGATATCTTGTATATACCGGTTCTTGTGGGCTTTATAAAAGTACCGTGTAACCCATCTTGATCGTAATATCTCACGCATTGTATAATTTTTCCTCTGCCTTGCACTCGTTATCCATCAAACGGTGTCTCCAGTTGGATACTTATTGACACAGTCTAAAAGTACGAATGGGATGCAGAACCTGTGTACATCCATTTGCTCACCTTTCATGTTGTCTAAACATATACCTATGATTACGTGTGGTCATTTCGGTCGATTCTTTGATAACGTCATCGTTTGCTCGTTGCAGATATCATTGGCACGTAAAGACTCGTCACTGTGGGTTGGAGGAACTGTCGGATGTTCCTAAGCGACGAGTGCTACCACGATGTAGGGCTCGGGACGAAGCACGATGCCCAACGTCATAACCCTGACGCCGGTACGACGCCGTTGCCTAATAATATTCCTGGCGATTCTAGTGCCGTGTGCAGTCGTTAACCTTGTATCCTCGCCGGATGTTCGCGAAGAGACCACCTTGCAGAATGGCATCGCGGAATTGCAGGCAAAACTGGAGCACCTGCGGGCCAAGTATGTCACGAATCAAGAGGAAATCAACCTGCTCTCGCATCAGTTGTCTCAACTGACAGAAAGCACCCGTGTCTCTCCAGACCTACAGTTTTTAATCAACAATAACACCTCCAATGTAACAAGCATTAAACTACCTTCGATGTATAACTTCCTTCCTCATTTCCTTGACGATCCAAACAGCTTACGTCCTGCGTTCGTCCAAAGTAAAGGACGGTCTAGTGTCAGTATGGTGCTCGGAGTACCAACAGTCAAGAGAGAAGTGCAAAGCTACTTACTGGCAACGCTAAAGAATCTATTGGATACCATGAACCCTGCAGAAGCAGCCGATACCTTGATCATCGTTATGGTTGCAGAGGTGAGAAGGGACCACGAAAAAATATTTCAAACGCTCATGAACATCGTTATGATCATAAAAATTGATTTTACATTACAGACTGATCTGGAATACGTGACGTACGTTGCAAAGCAAATTGAAGTTCAGTAAGTCGAGATATATACATTTGCTAAACGGGTCTATTTGTCATCGATATGACCAATTGCTTTCAGATTTTCGTTTGTTTCTTTTTTTGTTTACGTTACCATGATACTGGGTAAGAATAATATATCTGTTTAACTTCAGGTTTCCAAACGAATGCGAAGCTGGGATAATCGAGGTGATTTCTCCTTCACCTTCCTACTATCCAGATCTGTCAAAGCTTCGTGACACTTTAGGTGATGATCATCAGCGTGTCGTTTGGAGATCTAAACAAAACTTGGATTTTGCTTTTCTTATGTCATACGCTCAGACCAAAGGAACATTTTACGTACAATTAGAGGACGACATTCTTGCTAAGAAGAACTTCATAACGACCATGAAGTCATTTGCCTTGCAAAAAATTAGTCTAAAAGAGAATTGGTTCGTTTTAGACTTTTGTCAGCTTGGTTTTATAGGTATGTTTAATTTATCAGTGAAGCTTTAATGAGGTGTACTTATGATTAAGATTGAGTACCCAAGAAATTTAAATATTTCAGGGAAAATGTTCAAGTGTGTCGAACTCCCATGGTTAATACAATTTTTTCTGATGTTCCATAACGATAAACCCGTCGATTGGCTCTTGGATCATTTGGTGTCAACAAAAGTCTGTAGTTTGGATAAAGACACTGTAAGTTCAATGTACGATACTCTAGAATTCTTGTTTTTAAATACAGATTGTAAATGGAGATTGTAGTAATTCGCTACTCCACGTGTAATTTGCACTTTCCTTATGTAAGTTTTAAATATAAATTGCAGAAGCACTGTAAAATGGCAAAGGCTGAGTTGTGGTTGCATTATAAACCGTCGCTCTTCCAGCACATTGGCACGCATTCATCTTTGAAGGGAAAAGTTCAAAAACTGAAGGTGCGTATATACCAACAAATTTAAATTAAGAACACTTAACAAAGTGAAAGTTGAACAAAAAAGAAAAGGAAAGATAAATATTGATAATTTGTAGGATAAACAATTTGGAAAAATAACACTGTTTTATGGTCACGAAAATCCCGAGGCAACGGTCGAGACTCAAATCAAACCTTACAAGCAGTACACACTCGCCAAGGCGTATAAAGGCGAATCCTTCTTCTGGGGACTTTTGCCACAACCAGGCGATCGCCTCAGATTTAAATTTAAGCATCCTATTTTTATAAAAAGGTACAAGCTTTTATTATCAACTCCGGGTTATTTAAGTCGCTTAACGTCACGCCGTGCATTTTCATTCCAGGTACTTATTCAGAAGTGGAAACGCGGAGCATCCGTCGGATAAGTTTTACAACACGACGGTAGAAGCATTACCAGAAGCGTCAAGTGTGGTCAACAGGAACAATAATGACGTATTGGAAGACGGGTACATAATTGTCGGTAAGTTAATTGAACAGTTATGCGTGCCAAGTTACAACCGTTCAACTGCACGTAATTACCGCAATCGATCTGTAACTGTTTAGGTAAATTTGATTCGCTTGGAGTAGCTCAAGGTACCGTGGATAAAAATTTGGGAAAGATAGCTGTACTTCGTTTGACCGTTCACAGCGAAAGTGACAATTGGGCTATTTTGTCCGAGGTACGCCAATTCTGAGATTAATGCAGCCTACCGTGCAAGACTGTCGTTCCATACTAAAATGATGAGACCTTGTTAATAACACGATGTAATATTCTCGACAGATTCACATTGTTCAAGATCGACCCAGCTGACATGGGGGTAGAGAAGCACAGAAGCGTTTTCGCTACTGACCTTAGTAATAGCTTCAGCCTGACGAGCTTTTCTCTTGAAAAGACTAAGAGATATTTGATATTGTTGTTGTTGTTAATTATTTTATTATACATTAGTCTTTTTATATCTCACTTTGATTTTCGACACTTTAAAGACGGACCAATCATCCACTCGAGGGGACCGAACGCAGAATGGATGTAACGGTCCAAACGCGCTAACTCAGTTATTACCGTTACAGGGTATACTGGCTGGCGTAATGGCATTCTGTAATAAGAAAACGCTTCTAACGCATTTTTTACACTACTTTACGAAAATTTAAACACTTCTCGGATTAAGGCCTGATAATCGCCCTTTTGGCTTTTTCGTCATTTCGGAAACCCTCGACGCGATACTATAATGGGCCGCGCTATTTACAAGCATAATTTAATTACCCGGAATAACCGTCGACCGTTGGATTAATTAGATATTGCATTTTTGTATCAATATAGATGCCATTCCAAATGTAATTTGCAAGTATAATTTGCTAATCGCTGCATGGTAATTAAATTACTGATGTAATGGTTGTTGCCTGTCTGGTATCTGCTAGGTATATGTATGAAGGACCATTTAAAGGTATATTTTGAGGAGCAACGTGTCACGCGAGAGTCCACTATTCTTAGCGATTTAATCAACGAGTGTGGCTTATCTACCACTAACATTTATATGATGTGTTAATGAAGTGGAAATAACACCTGTGCATGTCATGTCGAAATTTGGGATCTATCGATTTTATTTATACATTTTTTTTTGTGATCAACGATGAATCTGAACTAGAGATCTGCCACCCGGATTATTATTTTTTGTGGTTTACCTGTCGCATTATGTATATATAGTAAAATTCTTGCTGTAGCATGTTTCTTACCACATTAACGTTTCCGGTAATAAGCACCCATTGAAAGACTGTTCTTTAATATTCTGTGACGTACAAAATGATTTGCATCATTTGTGTTATTTACCGTGTTTTCTCTAACCATCTTGTGTTTGATATGTCGGGGAATCATCGTTAACATTATGTGCTTCGTATATCTATTTTGATGACAGGAAGTAGACCACAAGTGTACGGATCTGATTTTCAACCTTCAGTGTACAATTCTCGAAAGTATCGTCCGCCTCTATTGGCAATCGTTAACGAGTAGTTAATCGTACCCTAAAATAATTTCCTAATTCGATGATTATCATCCACGCCCGTTTTTTAAAATTCCACAAGCGGTTTCCGATTCCGTCGTACGCAGGGATATTACCGAAAATCCGGGAACTTTAAACTACTAGGTATTCCGCATCGTTCATGTAACGTAATACTTTAACAGGACGAAAGAAAACAATCTCCATATTTTTACGCAGCCTATTTTTGGCACATATTTTATATCGTCGTATCGTTGAATATTGGAATTGACTGTGAACCGAATGTACAGACCTGTAGATCATTGTAAGGAGACCGAGTGTACATACAGAACGGGGTGAAAATCGTGGAATCGCCATTCGGGGACATTGTGATAAGAAACTGCACTGTCTTTACGTTTCGTTCGATCGACGACTGTACTCTGAATGTATATATGTATTTTAACAAATAAGAGAGGCGAGTGTGAACTATTTAAAAGTAATAAAATCCTTCCATGCCGTCGTGGGCCTGGTGATAACAATTTGTGTATTAACGCACGATGAAACGTTGTTGGCATCGAACCATTTCCCCGGAACGGTATCATCCGAGTTTTCTCCTATAGCCGTGTTCAATGACGAAACGCGATGTGTCTAAAATCGGGTTCACGTTGCAACATACCGAGATTTTTTTCCCGACTCGACCGTTCTCTAATTTACGCGGTCAGTTTCGGTATAGGCGACGACAGAGCCCGCCTAACCAATTTAAAGCCAATATCGTTTTATATTTACATTTCATGTACATGTACACACGTGTATTTACATTTAAACTAATTGTAGTCGCGTCCCAGTATGTACCAATTTCCCTCGCATTTGACTTTACGTAATTCCGTAATTTGTCCCTGGAGATGCTCCTAGAGGACACGAAGCATGCCCCGTTTCTTCGATTTACCGTCAGTCCGTTCGCTGTACCTAACTTACAATGTGTACTCGCTTACCAAGTAAACGTACAAAATGGAATCTAATTAGGCTAACGGGGTCACCCATTATTGAACCGACCTTACTCGTAGTCTGGGAAATTTGTACAAGTGGCACGGGGTCGTTTAATTCCCAGAAGAGTAGCATCTTCCGAGTAACGGTCACTTCGACGTGGAGCGACCCGTCGGGGAACCTGGCGAAGGGAATTACGATCGCAGGGAGATCAACACTCTGTACGGTTTCGGGTAGGGTGTAACGCCGTCCACTATGTCTATCGGTGGTTTTTCTTCGCCGGGTACCACCGAGAACGTAAACGCCTGCAGGAGCGCGCTGATGATGACGAACATGTTGCTCTTTGCCAGCATCTCGCCCATGCATCGGTGTTTCCCTGGAAAAGCGAACGCGTTCACATGCGATGCCGAAATGATCGATCTTCGGATACGTACCGAAACCGAACGGAAGATATCGATCGGGTATCGTCACCTTTCCATCCTCGTTGAGGAACCTTTCCGGCCGGAACACCTCCGGGTCTCCCCAGAATTCGCCCATAAGGACCGTGTTGAAATTGGCGATTATCATGGTGTCCTGCAAACCGCGGTCAATGTTTCCCACTCCTTCGTTTCGGATTCCATTGGATAATTATTCGAGAGGTTGGTGCAAACTCACCTTCGGGATTCGATAGCCCATGATCTGGGTGTCCCTTACGGCTCTGTGGGGAATACTGAACGTTCTGCCCATGAACATTCGCACCGACTCCAGGACTATCGCGTCGATGTACGGCAGTCTGGAGAGAGGTGTCGACGTCTGATTAGCGCTCGCTCGAGGGTGCGGAAGAATAATTAGCGTGAAAACGATTTTCCAGTACCTGGGTCTATCGGTGAGAGCCGGGAACCTATCGCGACCTACTACCAGGTCGATCTCCTCCTGCGCCTTCCTCTGCACGTTGGGATACAGGACGAAGTACAAGAAGGAGAAGCTCAGCGCCTTGGAAGTGGTCTCCGATCCCGCCATGAACAGATCCATGCAGATGGCCAGAAGCTGCGACTCTGCAAAAGTCAGCGTTTACGAAGGGCGTCGTTTCGTTCGCCCGACGCCGCCGAACGTCGTCCACCAGGAGAGGCGCCTTACCGGAAAACGTTTCGTTGTAATTTTCCGAGCGCAAGATGTTCAAGTACGAGTCCATCAGGTCTCGCGGCGTCTCGGACTCGATGGTGGTCTTGTGGCTCTGCAGCTCAGCCTGGAAGAATCAACGAGAGCGATTCGACGAGGGCGCATCGAGAAGACCTCTCCGGGGGAAGGGATACTTGCGTCGAAAAATGCCCATAGCTGTTGATGCGTGTCAACGAATCGTCTGTAACCGGACATCTCCGGGGCGACGTATCTCAGGATCGGGAAGTGGCTGAAGAGGCACCCGACCATGTCCACCTTCTTGAGAAGCTTGGTCAGGATCTTCTGCAGGTAGATCATCCGCTTGTCGTCGGTGGAAAATCTGAAACGGATAATCGACGAGGTAGGTGAGCCTTCGGGACGACCGAGCTCCCGACGTCCTCACCTCTTCCCGGCCATCATCCTCCAGAGGCTATTCAAGACAGGGACCCCGAAGATGTCGTCCATCGAGAGGATCGTCCCCGAGCTCTGGGCCATCCTCCTGACCTCCGCGTAGTCCTCGGCCTTGACGTAGACGTCCTCGATCTTGAGAGACCTCGTCGCCTCGCCGACCTCACCCCGGGAGTCCTCCTCGGGAGCGAGGTCCTCCTTGTCGCGCTGCCCGGCGAGTCGGTAGATCCGACCGTCGTTGGTCGGCCGAGATTTGGACCGGCTGCCGACCTCGACCTCCCTCTCGGCGGCGGCACCCAGCAGAAGCGCCTTGATGTGCTCGACCAGGTGGGAGGCCTCGTCCTCGATCAGGATCGCCATGTCGGTGCGGCCGAACCCGAACTCCCGGAGATGGCGCAGGACGAAGCGGCGCTGCTCCAGCCACAGGGGGCCATCGGTCAGGAGAACACCTGGAGCGGAAACGGAAGAAGTCGCAGTCGGTTCGCCGCGGCGGCCCGGCCGAGTCTGGCTTACCTCTCCTCTCGCCCCAGGTGCGAGTCTCGTAGAAGGGCCCGGTGGGCCGGCCGTCGCAGTCCTCGTTACTCATCATCGCGCGGACGCTCTCGTAGCTGTTGAGCACCACGATGCGGTCCTTGCCGATCTTTAGGCCCACCACCGGGCCGTACTTCTCGTAGAGAGCGGTGCAGGTCCGGTAGAGGCTCCCGGTGGTCCTCCTCAGGCGAGAGACCTCCCAGCTCGAGCCCAGGATCGGCCACCACCCGGGACCTGCGGGACAGGGAACCGAGGACCGTCAGTCGGGAACAGAGGCGAGAGTGTCGGGAACAGGGACGAGAGTTCCCTACCTGGCGGGTATCCTTTCGGCTTCCGACATCCATAGTAGAGAAATAGGACCACCGAGATGACGAGCAGGAGGATCGGCTGGAGCATCCTGGGGAGGCGAGAGGCGGCGTCAGTCGAAGAGGCGAGAGGTGCCGAAGAGGAGGTTCTACTCACGAGCGGGTGTCTTGGAGCGCCTCGGGATTCATCGGAGGTCCTCTCCCGAGCGGAGAGAAAGAGCTAGTCGAATTCCTTGGAGAATACGCGCCGCGACGCTCCTCCTACGGGGGACTCGGTTACGTTCGGCGCGCTATTGGAAGAAAGTGAAACGAGCGATCTTGCGGGAGAAAGTTACATACGGAAGGAGGCGGTATTACCGGTAAAGTCGCTGTCACTTCCATAATCCCGTATTCACGCTTACGCAATCGTTAAACGCATTCGGTCGCTTTCATTCGGCAAAATGTGCCGGAGGAACCCGAATCTTCCCCGAGACGTCCCGCTGCTCGGATCTCTTTGCTCCATGGCGGGGCCGACCCTTCCCGAAACCCGATCGAGGGCGACCCGATTCCACTGGCGATTTCTCTGGAATTTACGACGAAAGAAAACGACTGGTCGCGGTCCCGACCGGCGCGCTTTCACTCGTAAAGGGTGCACCTTTTATTCCTTCTTGAAAAGTGCATCGCGTAACACCGATTTCGGGGCCCGTCGAGGAGCCCGAGAAATCCGAGCGATCCTTTTTGCCGGACTCGCGGAGAAACGTCGACCGGTGGCGAGACCGTTTCTCCTCGCTCAACGGATTCGCGCGGCTTTCCGCTTCGTCCCTAGGATACGTCCTTACCTCGTAAAAGTCGAATCGCGAATGCATCCCCGAGATGCAGGTGACGCGGGAAGAGAAGGCATTACGTAAACGCATCCTTTTTTCTAGGCGCGCATTCCACGGATTCGGTCATCTTTTAACGAGGATCCGGCGAATCGGGACCGATCGAGAAAGTTAGTTACGCAACACGGCAGTGCCCGTAATGTCACGGTGACCATGAATTCGATTTTGCTTGTACTAAGTCGTGTTTATTAAATATTAAAATTTCAATTGTAGATGCGTGCCCGCGATTCGTGCGTGCTGATTACGCTATATGTACATCGTGCTCGTATCCTCGGTCCGATGTAGTTCAACGTATTCGCAAACCTCGAAGGACTCTTTCGCGAAATGTCAGGGACACCCTGTTCGTCGGTAGGAGTTTATCTCCGCCGGTTCCTTATATACTTTATTCCTAACAATTATAAAGATCATTTAAAAAGAAATATTAATATCCGAAGCAGCTCTTGCGGACGCCATCGCTCGCGGAGCGACCGATACTTCGGATCGTGCGGTTCGTCCTTTCGTTAAAACGTGCAAACTATTCGTTCTCCGGACACACTTTTATCGTCGTTATGGGTAGAGGTCGTTCCCGATCACTCCGACGAGCAGCGTTTCGATTTCGTTGCTTCGCTACTCGCAGCGTCTCCCTCATTTGAGCCTGAAACTCCGCTCTCGTTATCAGGTCAAAGTGGGAATTGCTGGAAACGGCTTCTGAAAGTAACGAGAAGAGTCAATGGGACCGATGCAAGGCTCGATGCACGAGGTATCTCTCCGGGATAAAAATACGTATAGAGTCAACTGTCTGCGAAGACCCCGGGGCACCGTAATAATTTTTCATTCATCGAAAACGATCGACCTACCATAAATTGCTTTGGCTAATCGAGTGTTGTGGAGTGGCGTACCGTTGTCTCTACCCCACCACGTAAAGTGACACGTCACTTCGTCGGTGACCAGCTCCTTCATACACAGATTTAATGCTTCTCGTAGAGTAAACCCTCCAAGGTACTCTAAATAACGAACCTGTAAGATAACGGACCTATACGTTTATAACCTACGTTCTGACAGAAGATTCGACGATACCGCGATTCTCTTTCTATAATATTTGCGATCTTCGTAGCGTACCACTTCGTTGTATCTCTCGTCACTGGCGTTATTGAAAGCTAACACCTCCTGAACCGTCTTCATCGGAAGAAAGTCTGGCTTTGTCGATTGCTGCCCTTTTCGGCCATCTTGCCTCATCAACCTTTCTATTCTTTCCAAGCGTTCGTTGATTTTCCTAGGTATCACGATAATTTTAGTACATCACACGTTAGGTACCTAGTATATTTCCAAGGCGACCGTACTTATGTACCGTCCCAGATGCTATAAAGTTTCTTTAAGACTCAAGGATAAACTGTGAATACGAACGTAACAAACTTTTAAAATAATCATCGCCCAATCTTCCGATCGCACGCCAGCTCGGAAACTGCACCTACCGCAGTTCCGCAACGATAGCACCTGCATCGACGGCGACGAAGCTTGTCGAATTGACTGCTGGCGTGATTTCATAAGCCATAGGTTGACGAGGCGACGGTCTACGTGCTGACGGTCGAGCAGGCATTTCTAGTAGCGAATCGTTAGGCACTTCGACCGAGTCTTTCGCACTCGTTGGATCTAACGGCGATGGGTACATAACGGTTGTGAATTTACTCCAACTGGTTTGGCCTCTTGAAAGACGATCTTATTAATATACCTGCTTGAAATAACGTTGACTAGCTGCTCGCGAGGAGTTATACATGAACTTATGTGCCTTACATGTGTATACTTGAACCTAACTACCAGGAATGTAAACATCGGTTATGATGTCTCGATATAAAGTGGAGGTCTCATTACTAAATAAGTAATAGAGAGTACTGTCGATTCCACGAGACCTCGGATTGTTTTCGCTTATGTCAGGTGCAGATTTTCACCTGTTTTGACCACAGACTATCTATAGAGATGAGTGGGGAGCAGAGATGAGAAGGATCCTTGAATTAAGCCGCCATTGGGGGATATCAGGTGGCAAGTGCATGATTCGCTTGCATTCTACACCGAGGGGCAGCACAGGACACGATCGCGCAATCCTGCCCGTGAGCAATCTCCCAACTCATCTGTGGTCATTCTAGGTCATCTCTGTTCTAGGTAGAGTTCTTTTTTCAACAGATTTTACGTTCATCGCAGTTCATCGGCACATCCAGTAGCGAAGATGCAGTTGTTGATCGATTGTAAATTTGATATGCGAATTGTTTAGGGGATTCTGTCGCTCTCTACAAACCGGATTGGTGTATAAACAGAACAAAGATTTTAGAATAGTGTCCGCCCAATAATGTGGAAATTTATTATTTTTCTTTTCACAATAAATTCCTTCTACACTTTGCGATGTGAGGTTAGTATATTATTGAGCGATGTTCATTGCATAAGTAACATTATATTAAAGAAAGGGTGTGAAAATGTTCTTTTTCAAGGCTCAGTCGTACGATGACAAGCGTTGTAAATGCATTTGCCCAAGTATTTCATCCGTTATCAATACTACTCAGCCCTCTAAAGACCGATTGAACTTCATTTCCAATGTACCACCAAACAATTGGTAGTTATGTTTGCCTCTAACATTGTTAACCAAAGGTAGTGTTTATGAAAGAATAATCTTTATTTTGCCTTTACTTGGCAGTGATTGCGATGGCGTTATATTGCCTCGGGTTGGACATCAAATAGTGGGAAAGGAACAGATTTTCTGTGCACGATGTGACTGTAAATATGAGAATCGGAATACCACGATCATTAAGGTACAACTGCAGGATGATTTTGAGTGTATAGATTCATCGATATGAATTATTTTGTGGTTTCTTTTCAGATTGTAGTGATCATTGTAATTTGGGTGATATCTCTCCTAGTAATTTATATGTTATTCTTGATATGTTTGGAGCCATTACTGAACAAAAGGATTCATAGAACTGCTGGAAACGCAGGCTACCAAGAACATAACAACGAGGAGGTAGATTCCTCTAATTATATTTCACTATCTCACTTTCAGTTCCTCAGAAGACCTTCCCACACTCTCTAAACGTAGTTGAAAAATAATCACGACTCAAGATGTCGCATCATCGCTTCTTAAGGCTGTCAGCATGTCATCTATCGCCACTTGTGCACTCGACAATCCAACACTGTCCATGATCACCCTTGATAGTAGACTCGTTAAAGAAATTTGTACATATCCAAATACCTACTCAATTGTTACAACTTTATATATTCTAGTTTTCTATCCTTTTGTACATTGTTTTAATAAATGCAACAAATAAACGCTGTCTATTCCACAGCAAGTAAGAGCAACCAACAACTGTTCTAACATTTTCTAATGTTGACAGGACGACGCCTCAGTGGCTCCTGGAATGTCTCATCCAATGGGAGTAAGAGGCAATGTTTTAAATCGTGTCGGTCATCAACAAGACAAATGGAAGCGACAAGTTCGTGAGCAACGTCGCAATATCTACGATCGGCACGCCATGCTTAACTGAGCTGTACAGTCTTTTTATTGGGAAATTAACTCTACCAAAGACCGCAGCTCGGTGAGATTTTTAGATTAGTCTGATTGAAAAGAGAACGACATAGTATGTTCGTTAAAGGAGGTATTAAGAACGATGGTATTTATATTTGTAGGAATATGTATATATCTTTTCTAACGAATGTTTATTTTACAATAAATTCGGGCAACCCTCTGGTTCCCCTCTTTATTTAGAAGGTCAACACTGTGTAAAAATTAACAAGCCACTGTTCGCTGTCATCGTTCTAGTCACAGTAAAAACCGAACTTCATTATGCAGATCTGCACCCGACTATCTTTATAACGTTAGACTGAACTTAGATACATAGATATTAGTATGACAAAAGTTTGAAAATATTATGTTAAGGCATCTTGAATAGCGTCTTTGACCGTATCGTACAAAGTTAGGACTAGAGCCGCTCCTGTGCCTCGAAGAACGTTAGAAAATGCTCCCTTAAAAAAGGCTGCAGGACCCTCGGTTTTCATTATCTTCACCCAACAGTCTAAAGTATTTTTGTACATGACTTCCGATTTTTTCAGACCGGACTGCATCATCATCCGCCTTCGAACCGTATCGAGTGGGTACGATATAATCCCCGACGTCGTCGTAACAATCTACACGAATGATTATTTTATCACAACACCAATGATAATTAAAAATAATAGGCTGGATTTAATATACCTGATATATTCAGGGAAATTACCTGAGCAATTATGAAGTTTATATAAAGCGGCGTACTTTTAGGGTCGGGCAATAATCCTCGACAAGTGTCGTACAATCCGAAATATGCGGCGCGATAGAAAATTATTCCCTGGACGCTTACGGTGAATCCTCGATAGAGACCAAAGAGTCCGTCCGTTTTAAAAATTTTTAATATACAGTCGCCCATTCCCTTGAACTCTCTCTGGTCCCCTTTGCCAACGTCAACGGCTAATCTAAAAGACCGATTAATTCGTTATGCGATGCGCGCAAAACGTTATCCAGAAAGCGAATAATTCAAACCTGGTTCGGGCAAAATCGAGGGGATATACGAAAAATAAGGACGTTGCTCCCGCGGCTCCTCCGGATGCTAAATTACCGGCGAAATGTCTCCAGAAATCTTCCTTGGGTACGCCGCCCAAGAATAATTCCTTATACTTGTCCTTAATCGCAAAATTCAAGGCTTGGGTGGGGAAATATCGTATTACGTTAGCCGTGTTGCCTCTCCAGAAACTGAGAAATCCGGTCTCTTTCGGTATGCGAACAAATGCGTCCATCATACCTAGAATGATTATTTGTATTTAATATAATTATTACTGATCGAGGAATAATTTTAGTATTAACGAGTAACAGGGGAGCGCACCTTTGTACTGTTTATCTTTTGTAATCTGTTTCGAGGAGTGTTGCACTTGTAAAAGCAATTTTACCCGTTCTATAGGTGCTACTGAAGTTTTTGCAATCGCTGCCGATACTCCGCCCGCCAGAAAATCAATCATAAATGCTTTTGATCCTTCCATGATGCCAAACCTTAGTCCGGTTCACTTATTAACATACAGGTGTCTTTTGCTCAGCCCACGGAATGCAAAGTGAATCTCATGTTGTCTTTTTTAAATTTATCCAGAACATTATTTAAATGTCAGCGCATGACCCAAGATACTCCAAAATGTCCACTTGACAAGAGACAGCCTCCATTACGGTGGAAGGAAGTTCCTTTGTCCAGGGATTTTGTTTTTATAATTATTAAGCATAAGTGGTAGTGCGAGAATTAGTCACTCGGGATGAGGTTGAATTAAAGGAGAAAATACATTGGTTTATTTTGTTGAATACAAAATATATAAAGAAATGCTTGCCCAAAGGTGCGTCACGGTTGATGGAGATTTGGAGACTAGAGGTTTTTTTTTTTTAGCGTCTAGCTAAACGAACCGGGAGAATTGGTGCTAATCGTATATAGAGAATTTGTTACACCGTACAGTCAGGAAGGTACAATGTGTAGTACAGTACTCGGAGTAAAGATATTCGGCACATATTGGCATAAAGTAACGCACGCGGAGACGAGACCGGCTATCGAATCGATTTTAACAACTATTTTTCATTGGCCCACGCGAAAAGGATTGACCCTTATTTTTTTTCTTTTTGTTGCGCGCTTTCGGAGTAAAATTAATATTAGGAACTATGACTAACGAAGAGCATTGCGAACGAATTTACGACACGGTGGTACAAAAGTAACACGATCTACCGAGAAATCCGCGCCGCACTCCCGGTGTGCGGGACATTGTAAAGACGAGACTCAAGAAACGTACAAAAAGCAACATTATAAAAACTAACGAATCCTAATTGCATCGAAGGTGTGTAATTTGACCGTCACTATATATTACCTCGCAAGCAACGATCGCCACTTTCTCGTCGTATCCTAGAACCGCATTCTCGTAAATTGAAAATAGTACTTTATGGAGCGTTATATTAATTGTACCTAACTATATACCACTTCGTAGAGTTTCGAGAAAACTCTGTGCTATGACAAGACATTTCATGTCCGCCAATCAACATCTATCGTTCGAACATCGCGACAAAGCGGTGACGGTTAAATCGGTAGGTTACAAACACATTGAGAAGTTCTTGTAAGAGCGTAACAGATGGTCATAACTCGTTTCATCAACACGGAAAACAGTGACACGTTAAAGTTACGTTCTGGCATTCTGGTGTGCAAGGGTGTCGGCAATAACTGCGTCGCAATTATCTCGCGCCGAGAAAATGACTGAACTCAAATTAAACTACCACATGACGATCAGTTCGCAGTATGCACTAAATACCTGCAGTATATACATCTCGCGTACGTAGGCATGTATCTTACATCCGTGTACGTACGTACATGAGACGCTTTAGAAGTTTATACAATTTGTAGTTTTTAATTGTTTAGAACTGGAATTCTTGCACTGCTCCCTTACGCTGCGTGGACCGACTGAAATATGAAAGATGAATAATGTTATTTAAGGAAAGACATTTGCCCAGAAAAAAAAAAATGTAATTTCTAAATCACCTTAATGACGTCGACACCCGTCAAGGTTTTAACAAGTTCCGGCACTTTAGTCACTATATGAAGAACCTCTTCTGTTAACTTCTCTGCCCCGATGGAGCCGTCACCACTTGACACCATCGTGATTTTCTTCGCCTGCGACAACGGAGCGGCCACCTCGGCTGCGACCTGTATCAACGGAATAACCATACTCGATAAAGCGATGTACCAGACATTTTTAGTATGCAATTAACGAAAGTCGTGCGTCACAATCACCTTGGGTAACGTCTCTAGCATCATATCTATCATAGCGGCGCTCTTGTACTCGTTCCAAGCAGCGGCCTTCTTCGCCATTTGCGCAGCTTCCGCCTTGGCTTTTTCTCCTATCGCGTGTGCCTCCGCATCTCCGCGGATCTTTATAGCTTCCGCTTCGGCCTCGGCTTCTAACACCATTCGCAGTTTATTGGCCTCGGCTATCTTCTCTAACCTGAAGTCGGAATAATGCCACGAATTAGGAACATGTAAATGTCTTTAAATTGGTAGTCGCGTTCCCTGTAATAGATTTTGTTAATTTTTACAATGATTTAGAAGATGACGCTACCTGTACTTTTCGGCATCGGCAGGACGTCGAACCGTAGCGTCCAATTCTCTCTCACGTCGGAGCATCTCTTGCTCTTGTACAGCAATTTCTTGACTGCGCTCTACCACCTTAACTTCCATGTGCTCCTCCATGATTCTCTGCTTGGTTTTAGCAGCTTGTAGTTCGTAAGCCATTTCTGCCTCAGCTTTCTGTCGGAGAAAATTAATTGATATGTTACGAAACATGTCGAATACCTTGGTAACGAATGACGCTTACCTTAGTCTGGACTTCTACATCGTAGGCAGCTTTCTTCAGCTCGAAGTCTCGCTGAGCTTTTGCGATTTCTGTGTCGTTCAGGAAACGAGCAGCCATCCGTTGTTCCTCGGCAATGGCTTCTCGAATCTGGGCATCTCTTCTGGCTTCGGCTTCACCGATTCTGGCGTCCCTTTTGACTTCTGCTGTTCGCGCCATTCCCAGAGCTTTTAGGTAGCCCTACAAAATATTTATTATCCTTATGTAGTACGCGCGATATTCTCTCGCGAAATTTATGTTTCTTTTTTATAGAGAGCTCATTCTTTGTAAAATGCGTAACCAATCGATCTTGACTCCTTACCTCATTACGAGTTATAATTAAAGTCAAATATTTGGATAAGTGTCGACTTTTCTTACGCGTTTTATCGAGAATTTGTATCAACGCCTCACCCCTTTTGTATGATATGAATGGCCCCAATTTCAGTACAGATTGTTCAAGTGCATGAAAATTAGAGCACTTAGAAAAAGAAACATGCAGCAGTTGAATAGTTGTAGTAATAATAGTTCAACTTCGAAGCATACAGAGCTAATAGTTTTGCATATTACTTTCTAATTAGTCCTGCACACAGGGACCAGCACAAAAGCTGTGTATTTTGATAATTACGATGGGAAGCATAAATGTTAATGGTGAATCCACGCAAGTTCAACCTTTTACCAAACCCTGACATTGGATGAATCGTTTCAAAGAATCGGCAAAAAAAGATAGTGCATTTGCATTAGACATCTAATACAGGAAATGGAACGTACCTTTGCCCCCTGCAAGTAGCAAAAGAAACATTTAGTAAATATGGTCATAATTGAGGATTCGTTTGAAATTATTTTCACGTCTCATGAGTTAGGCTAATATTGGTCTACGGTACTCTGAAGATTTTAAAGGGGGACTTTGATACTTTTTTCTCACTAAGCTGCAATCAAATTATTGCAAAGGGTTTTTAAGTAAACCAGTTGACAAACAGACATTCCTGGTGTTAGCTTTACGAAACGGAGCAGTTCTCAACATTCTCCTATAATACATTACTGCATAAGAACGTACTTCCTCATCCCTGATGTCTTTTAACGTGTACGATACCACGGTAATGCCCATATTGACCAGATCGCTGCTGGCAACCTCGAACACTTCTTTGCTAAACTTCTTTCGGTCTTTGTAAATTTCCTGAAAGAGAAACATGCTGGAATTATTCTAATTCACATCTTTTATCGATTTGCAAGGAAATAATTCTAAGCACCTCCACAGTCATGCTGCCCATTATAGCACGTTGATGACCCTCTAACGTAACTAATGCAATGTTATGTATTTCCTCTTCCGACTTTCCCAGGAACTGCTCGCATGCCGTAGACAGCATTTCCTCGTTCTGACCTTGTATTTTTACCTAGTCAACAATGATTTGTATAGGGCAAAAATCTGTTACCGTATTTCTTAGGCAAACTATTCAAACGAACAGACTGAATCTTTCTAATTACCTGTGCGATACCTGTCACTGATATAGGTACTCCTTGACATGTATACACAGTAGGACTTTCTACTTGTAGTGTCATAGTATTCAACGAGATTCTGTAATATAAGATACGTAACAAGGATACTCAGAGCTTGACACTTGTTCAGGAGGCCCAAAATAAGAATGTCTCCATCGCAGTGCCGAAATCAGTGACAATACCAATACATGCGCATACTTACTTTTGCACTTGCTGTACAATCGGCCATACAAACACCCGGCCTCCTGGCACTAGTAACGGCTTGCCGTAGCAGCATCCTTACGATAAAAGACAATTAACTAAGTGAATGAAGTAGTAACTTAAAAAGAGTTAGGAGGGAATGACAGCCGAGATTGCATTTACGAGACCCAGTGATTTTAAATGTAAATTTGAATAATTATATTAATTAACGCTTTCATTATTTTTAATCGATTCCACGTTCTCCCTCCCTACCCACCAGGAAAGCCGCGAATCAATCGGTTGACAGGCACGCAATGCTCCACCCACTTTATAGCGGGTTAAGTAGCCACTCTTGCAGGGTCGCAAGAATTACGAGTAATCGGTCAATCTAAGCATTTCGTGTTTCTCGTAAATAATGAAGCTTTTGCCTGTTACCTGACACTACAAGGGCCTCGTTGGGGCCACAGGTGACGAAACCGCAACTCATAATTGAAAGAAAAACAACAAGTAACACACCCACTCGCACCCGCCGTACGCCCGAATTACACTCTACGGATAATTGACGCTCTACTTCGAAGCGCTCCCTCTCTATTGCTCACGGGACTAGTTAGGGTGTATCCGTAAAACGTCACTGTCAGTTTAGGGTTTTTATCGGTTTTATACCCTAGACACACGACCCGCTAGGAGAATTCTTGGGAATTGATTTTTTATTGGACGACAACGCATCTCGCGACTTCGTCAAGCATCGCTCTCTTGTAGATGGGATCGGAAGTTCCGAGGATGTTACCAACGCGTGTACTGCTGAACTCACCGTGATATGATAAATCGATTTTTCGGTATCAAGTTGAATTAACACATAGCCGACCGAACGGGGAAATCTCCCCACTTTAAGAAGAAATGAATGAATTTGAAATTAAGTCTTAGTGGTATATTTTCTTAATAATAACTTTTAATCATATTTTACAAATCCATCGGCATACGAAAGAAAGTTTTAGAACCTTCTAAATTGTTTTTTAAACCTTTCGTAATGGTAATCATCCGTTGCTTTTTCTCCATTGTCTTTCCGTTTCCCTTTCATGTCTTCTCTTGGAGCTGGCATCTTCTTTCCCTCGCCAGAGTCCTGCTTCCCTTTCTGCACATCTGCATCCTCGATGTTAACTGTAGATTTACAAGGAAATATAATAATGATTTGGTAATAATATACGGTGGGAGTTGATTAGTAGCGGTCTTACAGCGATTATGTTGTACAAAATTTACAGCCATATTAGTTGGCACGAATTGAGATGGACCGTCTTTTTTTCTATGCCTGTCCCAAAGTAATCTTAATTTGGCTTCTTCTGTAGCTTCGATGTTACGTATTTTCGCCCTGAAAACAGTGTGACATAAATGTGTAATTCAGCAACAGAGTGTTGGAGGAACTTACTCTATTCCTAGATCCACTTCCGGAATGCCAGACAGCATTTGATTGGACAGCATTTCTTCACTTCTATGGGCAGAACTTTGTCTCAAATGTTCTGGTACCGCTTGTAATGCTGCTTCTTCAGGAGAGCAATAAACTCCCTTCTCATTACCCGTATTGCTTTCTTCTTCTCCATTATTTTTATTTTTCCTTTTTGTTAGTTGTTCTTCGATATATTTCACCCTGTAATTTATTAAAAGAATATATCGTATCTGTAGCGATGGGTATAAAGAGCTTTTCGACTTAAACTTACATCTCTTCATCTTCATCTCGTTTATTAGTTTCTGCATTGAATTGGGTTCCAATTCCAGTGTCATAGGCATCATCTTGCTGAAGCTTAACATTTTTTAGTGCAGCCATATTAACCATTCCTCCGGCTTTCACATTGAATGGATCCGTCTATCGAGATACAGTACGATATGAATTACTTTCACAACTCTGACTTACAATGGAAGAAATTCAAATACATGGAATACAATTCAACTGATAAACTTACATTCAGTACATCAGTTGTCACTTTTTCTCCAAGAGCGAGTCCTACAATATTAACACCATTGGGTCGTTGTCGTAGTTTCTGTATTGTCTTCATTTCTTCTACCTTATTTCTAAAATAGAGCAGCAAAAGAACTCTTTATAAAAACAAAGGATATGCAGACAAGTGGATAAAGCATATAATTATTACCTGACCGATAAATCCTCATTACCACTATCTTCATCATCTGAAAGCACTTGTCGTTTCCTTAATGATTTGCGAGCTTTTTTTTTAAATTGAATTTTATTCCCGGAATCCTCGGAATCTCCCATGTTTACGATTCTTTGAATGTTTACTATCTAAAACGTTTCATATGCTCCTAAAATGTCAGAAGCATATTCTTGGTAAACGTTAAGCCTGGTTTTCAAAAATTGATCGTAAATGTGTATGTTGCCCCTAGGAGGAATTTTGAACATGCTGCGTACAGCGCCATACAGGAACTATGAAATTCAGGCTTCATCCGGCGTCAATTTACGTAACCTCAAAATGGCGTCTCCCGGGTGCTTGAGTTTATGTCAAGTTATAACACGATACAACTAATTATTTAGTTTTCGGTCCATATTAATAATGAGTAATATGAAAGATGTACAAAATATTGCCAAGGAAGATGCAAAGGCCGATTTTGGGAAGAATACCGAAGAAGAAGAAGAAGACGAGTTAATTGGGCCACCCGTGCCCGTCATGTTTAAGGGGTTATGTATCGAGAAAGAAGAAGAAAAATCGGAAGATTCCAGTGAAGACGACGATGAGTTAATTGGACCACCTATCCCCTCAATGCCAAATGACTCATCTAATCAAAAGAAAGAGCCAGAAAGGGCAGGGGGAAACGAAAACAACGACGATGACGATGACAGCGACGACAATATAATTAGACCCCTCATTTCTCATGGGCCTGAATCGGGTACCAAAAACAGTAAGTCAGAAAAATCAGTAAGCGATAGCGAGGATGATAACGGAGAGTCTGAAGATGAGGACTCTTCGTCAACCAGAATAATACCGTGCACTCACGAGATAGTCATGACTCACGGAACAAAAGCAGTAACAGCGATCGCAGCCGACCCTTCGGGTGCAAGGCTTGCTACTGGATCGATGGACTATGACGTTTCTTTCTGGGATTTTGCTGGCATGGACTCATCTCTGAAAACGTTCAGAACTTTACAGCCTTGTGAAAATCACCCGATAAAATGTTTACAGTATTCCATTACAGGAGATGTAATATTAGTTATCTCTGGCGCAGCACAAGCAAAAGTTTTAGATAGGGACGGGTTCGAGAAATGCGAGACCGTGAAGGGTGATCAATACATCACCGATATGGCTCGTACAAAGGGACACACCGCGGTATTAAACTCTGGTTGCTGGCATCCTTTTACAAAGGAAGAATATGCAACCTGTTCTCAGGATGGCACGTGCAGGATTTGGATATTGTACCGCCCGAGGGCACATAAGTACCTGATTAAATGTCGAGCGCAGAATGGAGTGAGGACTGTTCCAACAACCTGTGGATATAGCAGGGAAGGGAATGTCGTAGCATGTGGCTGTATCGATGGCTCGGTACAAATGTGGGATCACAGGAAGAATTTTGTTAATCCTTCGTTAGTACTTCGTGGAGCTCATGCCCAGGGCAGTGATATCTCTAGTTTATGTTTCTCTTACCTGGGCCATTCTTTGGCAACGAGAAGCTGTGACGATACCTTGAAGCTCTGGGATCTTCGATCCTTCAAAAATCCAGTTTTTGTGGCGAACAATTTATTCTCGCGTTACGACACGACTGATTGTATGTTCAGTCCTGACGATTCGCTAATCGTTACAGGAGAATCTTTAAACAAGGGGGGGACTGCAGGGCGACTCTTATTCTACGACACTAAGACATTCGATCTTACCAAAGAAATACCTGTAACTAATTCGCACGTCATTAAAACTCTATGGCATCCCAAACTGAATCAGATATTTGTCGGGTGTGGCAACGGAATCGTCAAGGTATACTACGATCCAGTGAAGAGCATGAGAGGTGCAAAGCTGTGCGTTGCCAAGATTCGACAGAAGCACAGGCCAGTCGAAGTAATGTCGACTCAGCAAATCATCACACCTCACGCTCTTCCATTATTCAGACAAGATAGACCCAAGTCCGTTAGGAAACAAATGGAAAAGGACAGACTAGACCCAGTCAAGTCGAGAAGACCCGATCTACCCATTACGTCTGGCCAAGGAGGAAGAGTCGCTTCATCAGGAGGTACACTCAGCTCGTACGTTATCAGAAACCTTGGTTTGAGCAAAAGGATAGAAGACGATCAGGATCCGAGAGAAGCCATTCTTAAGTATGCGAAAGAGGCCGAAGAGAATCCATATTGGATTACCCCAGCGTACAAGAAGACACAGCCGAAGACTATTTTCCAAACCGACGACGGTGACAGCGGTCCTTCTAACAAGAAACAAAAGACATAATCACGGCAATGTCCTCTTCATATCTGTATTTAAAAATTAATAATCAGCGATACCGCATAGTTTTAAGAAAAAAGTGCTGTACATATAACGTGCTTCATCTATTTCATGTGTGAAATCAATACATAGATAAAAAGTGGATCAACCCGTGCCTATGACGTTCCATAATAATTATTTTACTTTACTCTAAAATTCTGAATATTATTCTTAAGCGAGAACTGGGTGGAAATGGTTCAAGCCATTTATCGGCCGATGGTACCGAGCACTAGAAGTTCTCCAGCGCGGCCTCGAGATCGGCGCCAGTTCTCGTTTGATTTGATAGAGCGTAGACGAGAGTGGTTCCGAGTCTCTCGAAGCGGTTCCAGAAATCGTTGCACCCGTCTCTGCTGCACTTACGCATGGAGATGCAACGCTTTCAGGAAACGCCGCGGTCCTTTTCACCCGTTGAACGCGAAGAACGCAGTTAAGATCTATCCGTTTAAGTGGAGAGACACTTTCATGACGGCCCAGCGAGAGGGAACGCTCGCGGGTGAATTTTTCGGCTCGTAAAATCGAACGACTCTTCGTAAAAGAGATCCTCGCTGGCTCGCAATGCCAATGACTCGCTAACAACTGCACCTGCGTGTCCGACAGGATTAAGGCGTCCGGCGAAGCTGTTATATCATCCCCGGCCGATACCACGCCCTGCTTTTACATCCCACGGGATCTATCGTCGAGGTCATTGCCGCTGGAACGAGGTGGCCGAATCGATTCCCATTACGCCTCTCGGGGAAGCCTACATCGCGGACGTCCTACGACTCGACGAGGAAGAGGCCCCTGCGGCCGGCCCGTTACGAAGACACGCAAGAACAATGTCCCGGCCCCCGTCGAAGTCCCGAAGGGGCTCCATACAGCGATCCGACCGATTCATCCGAAATCAGGACCGGGCCGATCGATTCTACCGTTACAGTTGCAAATTCGGCGGCACCGTTACTCGCCGGTAGCGGCGAGCCGCGTTACAGGAGGCCCTCGTGTATGCCCCGTTAATGATGCGTGCCGCCCGCGGTGCACAAAGATGCGCGGCGTCGGACGGGGGCGGCCTCCGAGGGCCTCGCGCGCTGCGCTTGGCGCGGGACTCGACCGAGTTCCTGGCACGTCCGGTCGGCTCGTCTCCCGGGGATAATGCATCACCGGCGGGCCCAGCCGAAAGTGTCGGGGCCCGTAGGTGCAATCTCGGGGCGATAAATTATTAGAAATTTCCTGGCCATCGGCGGAGATTGGAGTCGGTCATCCGAGGGGCCCGTGGAAGGCCCCTTATCTTTGGAAGCATGCGTTTGCACTCAAGGCGAGTCCGCATGCCGATTACTGGCCGGCTAACAACCGGCGGCGTATCCGAGCTCCGCCGAGAGCTCGAGTCTCTTTGGCCATTCGCGACACGAGCGATCGGTCATCGATTTTAATGGAAGTCGGGCGCGTTTTAGCGGCCCGATGGTGAAAGCTCCCGGCGACTTCGCCGGGGGATGAGCGTCGAGGGAACTGGACCACGGCTCGAGAGAGGATTCTCTAGCCGAGCACTTCGCTGGCCGGGCATAGTCATTAACTGTCCTTGGAACGTTTTGCGAGCGAGTGTGCGCGCGCGAAGTCTCGCGTGCGGAATTCGCCCGCAAATGGGACTCCGCCTGCTGCACGGTCTGCCCCCGAGAGGCGCTTCGAGTGCTCGCCTGCGGTCCCCTCGGGGGTTCGCGAATTAATCCCGCGTTCTCCTCGCGGGAGGTTCTTTCTTCCAGGTCTTTTATTTATCTTGTAATTTTTTCCTTTTTTTATCCTGCCCCAGGTCCGCGTTTCTTCCCGGCTAGAAGAAGCGGTGCCCCGTCGACGGAGAGCGCGCCGCGAAAAAAGGGCCGGTGAAAGCATCTCCAACGGCGACGTCCACGAGCGGGATTCCTGGCCGATGTCGTGCCGAGGAACTGGATCGCGATCCCATTGGATTTCCGACTTCTCAAAGCTGAAAGGTTGCCGGGTCCACGGCGTTCGGGAAGCTGCCAGGGAACAATGAGATCGTGAACGACATGGCCGGCTCGAGGAGATAGCCGGGTAGAAAGCTGAAATCCATCCCGGGATGCGGAAGAAATTAGAGATCACATCGACCGGTTCCGTAATGGAGAAGGAATCGGCGGTAGGGAGTCCACTCTGAGCGGACTCCACTTGGCCGGACTGCGGCTGGAAGAGGAGTCGCGAAAACGAAGAGGACCGGCAGACTCAGAAAAGGACCCCGAAGAGAGCCCCGAAGAACGCCCATAAGACTGCCCCCCGAGGTCGACACCTCGGTTCATACTCTAGATCTCTCCGGGCGATCGTTTACGCGGTGTAGAAGTATAAGCGCCTTTGTCAGCGGGGTAATGTAGGTGGTTAGGAGGCACGGTTTGCGGTCGCTCCGCTGCGGCGAGCCTGTGGGCGTGGGAATGGTAGAAACTGCACTCGGGCGTCGCCTCGCCCTCCCGAAGCCGCTAGGCGCACCGTCGATGCATCGGCGATGCACCGTAGATGCACCGGCGATGCATCCACGCAGAATCCGCCCGCGATCCGCGAGATCGCGGCCGATCGCGGGGCGAGTCGCGCCCACGGCGCCGATCCTCCCGCTAAATGCCCTCCCGCCTTCGATTTTCTGCACACGCCCGAACTGCATCTGGCGCGGACTGCATCAGGGATAGGCCGCAGTGGGCGTTCCGCGGTCGCACGGCCGCTCGACTCGCCCTCGAATACGAGCAATTTCGCGAGCCGATGCGAAATCTCGCCGCAGCAAGAGCGAGTCCTGCCACTTTTATCCCGGGGCGATGCGTCGGCCCGCTCTCCTCGAGGCGTCCCGAGATTCGGAAATATCGCGTTAGTTTACGTGAGTTATCGCCCGTTTCTCCGCATTGTGGGCCGCGCTACCCGAATTTGGCGGCGCGACTCGGGAGAACAATGCATCGGTTACCGGGCCGGAGTTTGCCGTGCGTTATGGGGCCGTAAAGTGTCTGGGCCCCACCTGAGACATCCGCTCTTTGGCCCCTCTCCTCGGGAGGAGGGAGGAGGCCTCGCCTACGGAGGTGTCAAGAAATGGAATCCCTCTCGCCCAAGTTCTTTCGCGATCAACTCTCGAGATGGGCGTAACCTCCACTGACAATGGCCATCGAGACCCTCGCACTGAACCGGGATTGCGATTATCACCTACGGAGTGGCTTATCATCGATGGCTAGGGCTCTTGTATCGACTGAGATTCGCCGTATGCATTTAATCCTCGACTGCGGGGATCGAAGGATTTATGGGACCTCTTTCGGACACATGGACGAGATCGCTGCAGTCCTAGCGTCACGTCGACGGGATTCCTCCTCTGCAAACTGCATTTCCGGGGACGTTTATCGCGAGTGCACGTACGTGCTCCTGCTCACCCGACTCGCTTCTGGCGAAGGGTTCAACCGTGGTGTCGTAAAACCACGGGGTCTTAGGGGGGTTGGTACAGAATTCATGTCCGGATGGAGGTTGGGCCCGGAAGTAAGGGTTCCTTTCTGGAAATTCGGGTTTTCAGGGGGCGCAATGCATCTTACGTCTAATTGATAACCGTCATGGGATAAGGGTGCTCGCGATAGAAATTTCGTCGATGGAGGGAAATATACTCAGGCTGAGGAAAAAAAAAATTCATCGGACCAAAGAAATATTTCTTTGAATGGTGCCGAATATTCTGTTAGGGCCCCACGAAAATCGGGCCCTGTAGAAGGGGCCGGCTTGGCCGAGGTCGCAGGCAGTTTCTGCCGGCCTCTGTCAACCGGGAGAGTATATGACCGACAGGCCGATAAACTGGCTGATGCAGGGCCCGGCTTGCATTATGCAACCGCGGGCTTTTCTTTTACGCGCCCGGCCGGTGCCCTTTGTTTGGCCATCGCCGGAGGGGGAGGGGGCAACGAAGTCGCAAATTATTCCACCGGGACTCGATTCCCCTTATCCCGCTTTTGGGGCCCGACCGTTTCTCGCTCTGCAATAAAATCCCAAGGCAGGAATTAAGACCCTCTAAATGCAGAGAAAAATATCACCTTGTCTGCGGCGTCTAGAGCCCGGTTAATTGTTAGAAAAGGAGAGAGAGAAAAACAATACACGTAGTCGAAGTTTCTTCCTTTTTTTTTCTTTCTTTCTTTTATACATCTCGATATCTATACAGTCGTTTCCGAGATTTTAGAGTACTCGAGTGGACGAATTTCAGAGGTGTACCCTGAATCTCGAATTTTTTGTATGTAATAATTTTCACTTAGCACGTACGCGTATATATTCCGAAGGCTCGTTCAGGGCGTTTATTAATATTTATACCGACTTCTTTTCTCACTTTCTTTCGTCTTCTTCGTAATTTTGAACACTTCTACGAATTTTCACGTAGAGGCGGTGCCCTTCAAAGTGCAGGGAGGCTGTACTTATTTATCATTTTTCTGGTTTTGCTTTCGAATGCATATTTATAATGCATTATAGGGTGTTCGAAATATCGAGACGTTTTGACCAGAGCTCCTCGAGAGATCGTAGACCTCTGGATGGAAAGAGAGGTCGCATTCGGCGGAACCGAGCGTGCACGTCGTTGCACTTTCCCGCCATGTTGGCCTTAAGTGGCGAGAGGAACGGATGTCGAATGTCGGGGGTGGCTGCACGTTGTCATTCCGACACCGACATGCACCCACCTGCATTATTCCCGGGCGTGTGTCCGCCGTCGCGACTGCATCGTTGCGTCCTTCCTTTAAGCGATTGCGAGACCTAAGGACGAGGACCCGCTCGGCGTATTATCCTTTCGATATTCTCTTTTGCAACCTCGCCGCGTGACCTATGATTAATACGGAGCCTTATTTAACGAGACAATCGAGGATTCGTTCTGGCAACACATCGGGCGTGAATTATGGCTCGCTAATTATCGGTCGTTACTTGCGTTATTACTTGCATAAATAACGCGGGGAGGGAATTAACGCAGAGGGAACGGCGAGCCCTTTAATGAGACCGGAGAGATAAGGACTCGGGTCTGGGCGAGTTTGATTATTTTTATCGATTTTTATTCTTCTGATAATCGGTAGACTAGAGGATGCCTCGAGGTGGACCCTTGTGCGTTCTCTCGGGAGGAAGGAGGAACGGAGCGGAACGCCGGAATCGGAAGAAATCGGA